TTATATAAATTAACAAAGTTCTAAACAATTCCAAGGTAAATATTAGAAAAGGTGAAAAATATTCTGATGAAAATTGAATAACAATAAATAAATTAACAATAGAATTGGAAATACAATATAAATGGTGAAAGATACAAAGATAAACTTGAATTCTGTTCAAGTTCACAATCAGAATATTATCATGAAAATGATGAAGAAGATGATGAAAATCAACACTATTCTTTATTCAGTTTCAATTCTCTTTCTTTCTTTTTTTTGTCACTTTTCCATCTCTCTCTCTCTCTCACTCTCTCTCTTTGCTCTCTAATTCAACTTTCTCTCTTCTTTCACCCTGATCATCACCATGATTTATAGATGATTTCAGATTCTGTCATGAGTTGTTCAGAAAAGTCCTTTTCAGAAAATGACAAGACTGATCATTCACTTGTTCATCTTCTGACAAACACATTCAATATGATGCTTATTTAACCCTAATTCAAGTCTCACAATCAATTCACTTTATACTCCATTTCCCCTCTTCCTCATCTTCCACCATGACTTTACCCACCCTGAGTTTAACCCACTTCTCCCTTTCTCTCTCTCTCTCTCTCCTTCACCTTCATCATAAATTGTAACATAACTTTACAGTTTTTTTACCTTAACAATTTAACCAGTAAATTGATCATCAAAAGTAAATCATTATTCCTATTAAAAAACTTTTTCATTCTTCGCCATTGTTTTTATCATTATTTTCACTTTGTTTTCAGTTGTTGATTAACTTTATTGCTTTCACTCAGTTGATGGTGATCATCATCATCATCATCATGGTAATCATGATACACTTTATCCACTCAATTATATTCACCTGATTGAATTTGATTTCAGTCTGAAAATGGTTTAAATTTTTTTCTGTCTAATTCACTTTTGCATCATGATAGTTATTTATTGATGTGATTTCTTTCATTCCGATTCAGTATTTGTATTCAGTTAACGGTAAAAGTGAATCAGATTTTCATCTAATTTTTTTGTTCGCCTTCCAAAATTATAACAATTATAACAAATTGAATTGGATGGAATCAATTTAATGACAATAATTATATAATTACTTTTACTATTATCATATAAATTAAACAACAACAATCAATTAAACATTGAAAGAAATACATTAAATTTATCTGTATAGAGACACAATTGAAATTATTTTACTGTTACTATTGAGATAGATACAAATAAAATTAATCACCAAGTAATCAATTAACAATTTGTATTGATTTTTAATTAACTTTCCAACGTATAAAATGAAAGGGAAACCCAAAAATGGGTGAATTAAAAGTTAATCAACTTGGAATCAATTTGAATTAGTAAAACAATCAACTCTAACCATTTCTAACAACACAAACAAAAAAACCTCAAATAAATTAATTAGTTTACTCAATGAAAATCAATCGTACCCAAAAAACAAATCAACTAATGAGAAACTTAATCATTACGAATTGGAAATTTTTTTCATTACCAACAAGCAAAAAAGTTAACAATTAACTTTCACCATTCAAAGTTCAGGTCAAAATTGAACTTTTCATATACACAGCTCGTAATACAAGTATCACTTTCAGATTTCATGTGGTATATATGAATATCATGGTTATATGACATAAATTTTTATCAATCTAATGCCCCGAGGCGAAACTTTTTTGCTTTATAATCCAGGTTATCAACACTAGCAAAACTTTTCAACTCCCAGTGTATCCAAAATGTATACACATATATAAATATATAGAGATATTTAAAGCTTGAAGGCATCAAGCAAGGATAAAGATGATGATGATGATGATGATAATCAGCATATTATCATATCTCATCATCAGTATCAATATCATCATCATCCATGAACATATTTCTCATCTTCCATCACAAGGAGTAATAATATATTGTTCAAGATGACAAGATGATAATAAACAAATGACACCTCAAACAATTATGATGATAACATGATAATCTGATAGTCAAAGTATTAATACAAAAAAAAAGGAAGAGTCAATTTTCATTGATAAACTAAATCAAGTTAATTATTTCAAGTTTATCACTGGAAATTTAATCTTAGTTAAATAATTGATTATCTAATTGATTAATCTCATTGATTAATCTTTCCATATATACATATTGTACATTTAATATTACTTTGTTTTCATTTTTCTTACTCTCTCTCTCTCTCTCACCTTGATCATCATAATTAAATAAATGAAAATTGTTGTTAATTTGTATCGTTATTACAACTTTATTATAATCACTATTAGCCTGAGGCGTTGGATGTTTTCATCATTTAAATGATGATTAGTAAAAATAGTTTTCGCAACTTTTTTTTTGTTTATCATAGTGTTTTTGTTAATCATAATTAATAATTAATTCCCATTTAAATACCTTTTAAATTATATTAATGATTAATTCTTGTTATCATGTTAATCTCACCCTTGAGTTTACACTTGAAACCATTTCAATCCGATTCATTTTTTTTGTTTGCTTGTTGATTGGATTAAAATTAGAAAAGGTTTACTTTATTATCCAGTTAATTTTCACCGCTATTGAATCGTATTCATCAAATTAATAACCCTTAAGGTTTAATAACTGTAATAATTAGCGATAAGATCAACAATTGATTGAGAATCAATTGTTGAAACTATTTTATCATTATCGTTTTTGTCAATGAACTCAAAGCCCTAAGGTTATTAATAAGATGGCAAGCAAAAGGGAGGAAAAGTTTTATCATCTTCATAGTTACATGATGATATTAGTTTCATTCTTTATCATCATCGTTTTTCTGGATATTTTCCTCATCTTATTTTTTTTTCATTCTCTCTTTCTCATCTCTCACCATGATGATGAGAGATGATAAAAGATGATAATCCTTCCCTGAACGGGATGGTGCGCAGATTCATTTGATTCCTTATCATCAAGAACAACAAATATCATCCAAGAGGGAATAATGTAGATACTCAATACATTGTTTATCTAATGTTAGATGAATGATGATCATCATCTTCTTCATGAGTTTTATGATTCATCTTCATCTTCATCATCATCCTCATCCTAAGTGAGCTAAATGATGTACAAACGAAAAGTTTTGCTATCTCTCTCTCTCTCTCTCTCTCTCTCGATTTTTTTTCTTTACTTGAACATTAGTTGCAATTGAGAAGCAAGTAAGAGGATGATGAAGATAATCATGATGATGAAACTCAGTGTCCATTGAAAAAAAGTCAGACTGGACAAGACAAAAGAGATGTTACCCTGAAAGTAAAAAAAGTTGTCATCAAATAATAGATGTTACCGTAAGGGAAGTTGATTGTAATATATAAAAAAGTGTTGAAAAGGATGATGATCATGTTAAAGGATGAAGAGAAAAAAAGATGATAAGAAGATGATGACTTGGTGGAAAGAGAAAGATGATGATGATGATGATGATACATGGAAAAATATTGACTAGTGAAATAGAATTGGAATCAACAATTATTCTGACCTAAATAATATTCTGAAAGACATTACATGAAACTGAAGAAGAAGATGATTCTGAAAATTGAACTTTTCATCTTCTTAAATGTTCATCTTCTCATCTCATTGACGATTAGGGAGTAAACCTGACAATCTAATTCTTAAATTTCTATGAAAATTATCGTTCACAGAGAGAGTTTTTTTTTCTCGCAACAATTAAGGATCAACTTAATTTCCTTCTAGATTCAAGTTTTATACCTTAAGATTAGATTGTAATTAGAACTTTATTAGAAAAGATTACATGGTGGAAAATAATTTCCATGGTAATTTATCATCTCTCTCTCTCTCACTCACTAGTTTGGACTTTTAATTAAAAGTAAATGAGAATGAATTTTAGTTGATTAACCAGAATTATCTGTAACTCATATTCTGATCATGATTGTATCGATTGTGTTAACAAGGTAAACCCAAAGATGTAAATTAAATTTTCATCATCAACAAATGATAAACAATCAAAATATCATCTTAATGATTATTTAACCGGAACACAAAATGAAATGAAGGGAGTGAAAAATATCAGAATTGGAAATTTTCATCTTTTCTATTGAAATTTATCGTTTCTCCTGGTATATTTATATCCTGAAAATATATTAAACAGAATTGGTATTTGAAAATATTACCATTATCTTATTGGAATTGATAATAATAATAGTTAATGATATGAATACGAAAGCAATGAAAAAGGAGGTCAAAGGATAAGGATGAGTAGGAGGATCTAAGGTGTGATAAGATGATAAGATGATAAAAATCAAGATATTAAATGAATGGTTCTGGTAAAAAATGATGATGATGCTCATGCTGTGATTGAATAACAGAATGTAAATGTTTCCCGATTCCATGATATTGATACCGATCCTTTTATCATTCATTTCAGTTTATCATCATCTCACTTTCTGTGTGTGTGTGACCATTGATATTATATTGAAAAAGTAAATCGGTTGACGATGATGATGATGATGATGATGATGATGATTGGGTGAAAGAATCAAAATCCATCGGATTATTGTGAAAATAATCTGTTACATCGTTTTCATCTTCCTGTCTTCTTTGTCTTTATCGTTATCTTTTTCATCATCATCATCATCATCATCATCATGAGATTTTTCTTCTGGTTTTCTTTTCTTATTTTTCATCCTCATCATCATGTTTCTCATCTGATTCTAAATCAAACAGGGAAAAAAGAAGAGGAAGAAAAAAAAATAACATCAAACTTATCTCATATTCTAGTTCATTCATCTACATGTCACGAATATAACTTTTCATCTTCATCATAATCCCTTTAGCATCCTCATCACCATGATGATGATGATGATTATCAGCGCAAACTTATCAGCGATTCAGGTTTATTATCACTATTAAAATTATCCTTTGATATGATTGATTGTGGAAACAATTTTCTAATTGATAACAATTAACTTTGATTTTGATTTTCATTCATAATTAATTTTTTCACCTTCTTTTTACTTTCGTATCAATAGCGATGTTATCTAATTGCATATCTATCTGGGTATCGTTAATATGGCTCAAGTCCATTCAAGGTAAGACAATTTTAATTGTAATTAATTTAAAATCCATTTGAACAATCAGTTTATAAGCAATTTAAATTAATGATGATTATCGTCGTTCACAGTTGAACTGTTATTAAATTACTTTTTTATAAGGGAATTAAATTGCAAATCATAATAATAACGATTCTTCATTTGATATTGAGTAAAATTAAGAAGAGGAAGATGAATAAGAGAGAGAGAGAGAGAGAGAAAAGTTCAATAGCATCTCTATGGTTACGACAGAATTGGAATGAACTTTTTTTTTATTCTTTCTTTTTTTCTATTGAATTCATTGTTCCATTCAGAATAAATGTTCCAAATTAAATAGAAATCATCTTTCTGTATTTTCCTCAGTCTTTTCTCAATCAAAGAGAAAAACAATTTATGATAACAAACAATTAGTGTGATGAGGTTGAATCATCAATAGTGTTTCCGTTTTCCTATCAATTGAATATGATTAAAATTGATTGTCAACTTGTGACAATCAAATTATTGGGTGTAAACTCAAGGATTCAAATGCCTATTTGTTTGTTAAATCAGAACAGCAACAAAAAAAAAGGACGACGATCATGATGATGGTATGATTACCATGATAATGGATGAAAAGTTTTCTCATCATAATTGATATTCACACTTAGAAGATATTATCTTTATCGTCATCATCATCTCTCTAGCATCTTTCTATCAGGATCATCAGTCTTTTTTATCTTTATCTTTCTCTTTGTTGTTCATTATATCGAACGGACTTTATTTCTTTTACTTCGAACCATTTTCTTCAAACTTTACGCTCGACTCAACCTGTCATCGTCTTCATGAGAGAACGATTTCTTCATAACGTTTGTCTTCCTCTTCTTCTTCCTCATCGTCATTTTTTTTACTGTTATTCATCCTTCGTCATCATCTTCATCATCTTTCGTTTGTTTCTCAGTTTTTTTTGTTTCCTTACCATTTCATGTGAAGATGAGGATGGAAAAGATGAGAAAAAAAAGTTTGATATAAAAAAAAGCAATGAAAACAGGGAATGATGAAAGTGGTGAAGATGAGGATGATATGGAAGACATCAAGAGATGCAAAAAGCGTAAATTTGATTCTCTGTTTTCTGTATTTTCGAAATAAACTCAATTGAAAGCGAATAAAAAATGGTCCATGAATTTTTCTTCACCTTAACCAATTCTTTCAGTTTTCATGGGATATAATACACAGAATATATATTCAGAAAGTTCAGCGAACTTGCAAACTTGGAACAAAAACTTTTTTTCTCTTCTCTTTTCTTTTGACTTCTTTCAAAACTTATCTGATTTCAGAAATAAATTCAAGGTTGAGTTACACAAAGTCTATGATGATGATGACGATGATGGTGATGGTGATGATGATGATAGTAGAAGGGAGGGAAACTCAGTTCATTCATAATAGTAACCAAATGAGTAGTTGCAAAGAAAGAGAAAAAAAAATTGATGAAACTTGAAACTTTTTCCTCTTTTTTTGCGATTGCAATTAACGAACGACGTTCAAACGATCAAACTGATTTACGTTCACATTTCATTATCAATGATCAATCAATTAAGTTGATAACTAATTGTTGACAATTTATCTAATTACAGTTACAGCAAAGGAATCAATGTCTATAAAATTAACAGCAGTTAACACTGATTATGAAGCTTGTTACAATTTCTCAGTTGGTGATAAAACAAAAGGTGAATTTTACTCTCCTAATTATCCCAACAATTATCCAAATCAAACTGATTGTATACTCAAAATAGAAGGTAAGTAAATTAATAATTCGTAATTGGAACATATCAATTATAAACAATTAACTTTCTTGGTAACAATTAAAGTGTCGAAATGTTTTACCTGCAAGCTTAATATCAGATTATCTTCAATATCCATTAATAATTCAATTATATCAATGAAATTTCAGAATTTTTTTTCTGAATAACAACAGAAAAGTAAAATTGATAAGTCAGAACTTTTTTTTTTACTCATGATAATATCTCTTGACATTTTTTCTTCCTCTCTCTCTCTCTCACTCTCTCATGTTCATTGATGATAATAATAAAATAATGATATGATTATTGTTTGTTTGATGAAATGTTAGATTCAACTGAGTGATTTAAATTATGGATTTCAATTTAATAGTTTTTTTAAACAACCTGAATCAAAATTGTTATACAACAATAACAATCAACGATAATAATGTAATAATAATACATAAAGCATTTGAAATTGTTTGCTTGTTGTTATACTGATTATTATTATCATGAGTATTATATTGTTTACAATTTATAAAAATATATTCTGATTGTGATTAAAATTGTTGATGTTGATAAACAAAATGTTTTTATTTCTCTTCCTTGTGATTTAATGTATTAGAATCTTTTTTTTTTCTCTGTGTATATTATATATATGAACAGTCTCGAAAAAAAAAGTCCATGTTAAATGTTGTGAGAATTGTTTTTTTCTACTTATATTGGAATAGTTTGTTTGAATCTTTCAAATTCTGTCAGAATATAATAATATTTTTATCCTTTCATATTCATCATAATCAAGGCAAATTCAAATGCTGACAATTGGATTAGTAATATAACTTTACAAGTTTCTTAGGGATAAAATTATCATCAGCATTTTGTATCAATTCATTTCTCATCTTTACTTGTAAATTAACTTCCGATGATTGATTGATTAAAATTCAATTTAATCTAAACCTTACTAGTAATTTGTTGTTGTTGTTGTTGTTGCTATTTGATGAATGATAAAACTAATCAGTTGATATCAAACTTATCTTATATACTATTACTTTCACTTAATCATTTACTCTGATCATCATCATCATCATGATATTATCCCTCTAATGATGATCAACTAACTGTATTTACCTTTTTCCCCTCAATAACAACTAGAACAAATAATATTAAAGGTAAACTTGAAAATTATATTATCATTATCATTGACAGATAACCAATTTTTTTGATTAGTGAAGGTAAATATAATTATCATGATGAAGGTGGAGGAAAATGTTATTGATTATGATTTGATCATCTGATTGTTACTTTGGATGTTCAAAGGTAAATATAGTGAGAGAGTTAAAGGTATCATCAATTGGATAAGATGATGAGAGAAAGTGTAAGAGAATCGTATACTTTTACTTGTAACTAATTGGGAAAAAATTCCATTGCCACATGATTAACCTCATCTCCATCATGATAATCAAAATAATCATCATCATTATCAGTATCTTGCTCTCGTATATACAATTTATACCATGAAAGAGCCTCCAACTATCATCTCTCTCTCTTCCTCATCTTCCTGCTTCTTGTGTTTCATTGCACAATTCAGTTTCAGTTTATCTTCTCAGAATTGATTGAGGCCATCTAATCACTAGAGAAAGACAAGAATAGCATGATGATGATCTTGATGATGATCATCATCATCTTGATGATAGTGATGGTGATGACGATGACTAGAATGATGAAGAAAAGGGATTAGCACCATTCAAGTTGATGTTGTTTCATTTTTTGGTTCATTTAATTTGCTTTTATTTGGAATCAGGAAAAAAAAACCCTCTGACATTCAGCTTAATGATAATCAAGTCAAATTAAGTTTTCTCAATATTAGATTTAATCAATAGTAAAAGACTTAAATCAAGAGAGAGAGAGAAAGAAAAAAGTTCCATCAACTTTGTTGTTGTCTAATTACAAAGGTGATTAATAATAATAATCACTGATCATTCACTTAACCAGAAAACTTTAATCCACTGTCAACATAATAATTAAAACCTTATCAGTTAACAATCAAAGATTAACTAACAAACAATTGTTAATCTGTTTGTATTTACCTGATTTTTTTAGTTTCCTTTCATATGTTCATTTACCTGAATGAAACTTTAAAATACAATGTTGGTATTCATGGTGATTCTGAGTCCTCATGTCAGGATTATTGTTGTTGAACCAATTTGATTATCAAATTATTAGCTAATAAGATGGTCCCATGTTTAAGGTGATTCTTTAAGAAATGATTAATTTGTTTACTCACAAATAATCATCATGATGATTGTCATGATCTTTGTCAAAATTATCAAGACTCTTGAGTTGAAATCTTCAGATTGTCAAGATATTTTCTGACAGAGTGTCAAACAACATATTGAACATTTATTCAGATAACTAAATAACTAAAGATATTAAGATGATCATGAAATTTGAATTGAGTAAATGAACAATTTATAAAACGATATTATCAACATTCAAATCGTTACAATTACAAATGTATTGATGGTTCAAGTTTTAAATTGGGGAAAATTTTTCACCTGATAAAAAATGTAATCATCTTTATGTATACAGTTTAATTGGTTTGAAAATTGATCAATAGCAATTAACTGATGAGAAAAATCAATCGATTGATCAACTTACCTAATCAACAATAATGGTTACATTGATTAAACTATATATTGAATTGGTTACAGTGCAATAATATTATGATAACTAGTTAAGGTTAAATTGATGATGATTTTGATTAAGATGCTGTTGTTGTTTGGGATGATGATAATGATTATCATGGTAGTTGTAATAATAATAATAATAAATGACCATTGAATGATGATTTGTTTCAAGTGGATCCTTGAGCCAAAATTTGGAGCAATTTACTCCTACAAATTGTGAACAATTTAAGTTGAGAGTTGACCCTTAGAGAAAGACGGAGGTAAACATATAAAATTACATATAAAAAAATTGGATCAACACATAAAATGGTTACACTTTTGTAAGATGATTGTAAAAACTATCATCATCCTCATCCTCATCCTTATCATCCTCATCATCTTAACAAGTACATTCACTTTCATCATCTCATAAAGTGTCCAAATGTTAAGTTGACCAAATGTTTACCGAAATGCAAAATAGTCACAAGAAACAAAAACCCAATACTGACCAATGGCTAATAACATAATCAGGTTGCACTTTTCTGTCTGATTAAACCCAGAAAAGTAATCAAAGTAAATACAACCTACAATTAACAGCAATTAGTAATCAAACCAATAATTACCAATCACCTTTTCCCCTTACAAAACAATTCTAATCGATTAGATATCGACAAAAAAAACAAATCATCTTCATCTCTCACGTTGATGCTAATCCTTAATCTCTCCTTAATCTTATCCATGTTTCTAAATTTTTTCAAATACTATTTCTTAATATAAAAGCGAATCGAAAACCGTTACAAATAATTTTCAAAGTTTCGAAAACTAAAAAGTCGATATGATAATATTTCACAAGTTTCTTTTTATTTTCTTATATTGGAAAGAAAATTTCTTCCAAATTGTTGACCTTAAATTCAGATGAGAGATAATCTCTTGATTATATAATAACATTATCTCACTTATTTACCTGAATATGTTTTCACTCCCAATTTACTTTCCCATTGAAAAGATAATCCAATGTTATTATCAATTTTTTTTCTCTCTCTTGTAACTTTTTATTCAATGGTTAAGCTTATTGATTTAATCTTTTATTATTATCATGAGATTAGTCTTAAATTGTGCAAAGGGAAAGTTCATATAATCATTAGAACCTCGAACAAGTAAAAAAAAAAAATATTCGTAACCGTTAAATTGGCCAACTAATATTGAGAATTACAATTATCCATGATAACTTATATTCACATTCATTTTGTTTGAAACTGATTTAACTTTCCAATTGAAACAATTAATCAAATTATTACTTTATCAATAGTATTAGAATCATTTGTCCCACCAATCAATTGTATAGTTAATTTTACAGCTAAATTAATTGTTGATTGTTGATTGTCTGATTGGTCTAGAAGGGAAAGTTTTCCCAATGTTATAATATAATGTTGACTAATTTTGATTCTGATCCACTGAAGCAAACATTTAATTTCATTTCAAGGTTCATTAAATTGTTATTCACTTGATGAAACAATTTAAATGTTATTTATTACTATTTACCATTAATATTATCAATACAATATTATCATGATTAAGGATACAAATAGTTTGTTAAATCACAATCAACCAGTAATGTTAATTATCATTTTCATCATCAATGTTAACATGTTAAATCCTCCAATGATAATAAGTACATATTGATTTCATCAATTCAATCAAATGACAAGTTAATTATTTATCTTTGTGATTATCATGTTATTTGATAGTATTAGTTATATAATATATTGTGTTTTATTATTATCATAATGATTGACATTATAAACAATAAACAAAATATCATCTGTAATTAATATATTATATCAATTGAGTTTAAGAAAATGTAACCCAAAGAACCGGGGGAAAAAAATAAAATACAAACTAACCAGAAAAACTATCATGAAATTGAAACCTGAACAATTGAACATGAACAAGATGAAATAAGATGAAGTTAATTAATCACTTGATAGTAAAAGTAACGGTAAAAACATTCAACACTAGCAAATAATTAATGCACTGGTATATTGTTACTGTTAATTGTTACCTTATATTATACGATTTTTACGATTGATTTAATTGTTGTTTGTTTCCCTTTTATTGTTGATACTTTTTTTTTCCAGCTCCTTATGGACAATATATTAAAATTGAATTTCGAGATAGATTTGCCATGGAGGCTTCGCCTAATTGTGAATATGATAGACTTGAAATAAGAAATGGGAAATATGGCTACTCGGACATACTCTCGGTTCTGTGTGGACACAATTTTCCCCATGAAATTCAATCAACACACAATTACCTTTGGTTAAGATTTAAATCAGATGAGAGTATAGAGTATGAAGGATTTAGAGGAGTTTATACATTCTTAAATCAAGCAAGTAAGTATTAAGATGTAACAATTAACTTAATCACTTATTATTATCCTTAACAACATCCACGAATTGTTGAAAGTGGATAAAATCAAATGATATTAACATCAAACAAGCAACAACAACAACAACAGACTCATAATAATATATATTAACATTCACACAGGTAAACATTTTCCTTATCGATTTTATCATTACAAAAGTAAATTGTTTCCATATTATCATCTTCATCATCTTCTCATTCTGTTCTTGACAACATCCATCATCCTCATCCTTTTGTCTTCTTCATTCTCATATTCAACTGATGAGAAGAGATGAGAATACAAGTTGATCAGTTTTCATTCAATTTCTGGTTCATCGTCCAGTTTGTTTACCTTTTTACTTTGTTTTTTTTCCGGTTAATCAGTTAACCAGATTAACCAGTTTTCTTACTCATCATAACTTATTATTGTCTTTCATTTATTGTTATTGTCATTTGTTTGTATCTATTTATATCATTGGCTATTTCGTTGGGTCAGTTTAATATCTTCTAATGATTATCATGGGAGAAACTTTTTCTTTTATCTCTCTCTCTCTCATTGTCCTCATCGATTATCAATTGGATACTTAGATGATGATGATGATGACAATTTTATCTTCCTTTTCTTTTTTTAGCTTCTTCCAATTGAATGTTTGCTTATTCTGATCATCCGATCTGATTACTTGGAATTCCTCAGGTTCTGGAAAATTGAAAAAGAAAAGAAAATGAAACAGTTCGAAGTGAAAAAAGTTCATTTCGAGGGAAAGGAAAACTTATTATTACGATAAAGTTACTACTTAATTTATCAGCGAAATATAATTGCAATTGGAACAAAATTAATCGCTCTTTCATTTATATATTTGGATTTCGGAAAATAATCAACAATTGTGATCAGTAATCAAATTAAAGACAATTTAAAGTTGAAGAAAAACCTTAAAAAAAATTGTTACAAAGGAAAAAAGAAACAAAAAGTTAACAGTTAATGAAATCGATATTATGATAATTAAATATTAGATCGATATTGATTAACCTTTGATATTAATCTGATTGTTGGTAATTATCATAGTATTTAGCAATTAATTTACGCTTAAAGTTAATCAAATTATATATACAAAGTTTTACCTTATTTTCTTATTCTGATGATTACATTTTTCATTTCATCCTGTTAATCTGCCACCATCATCATGAATTAGGTGTTTCTGTTGTTTCAATGGTTCCAATGTCAATCATGTAAACAATCTGGTTAATTTAATCTGTCATAAATACCTTTACATCAATTTTTACCTTTCTCCATAACGGTTCACTTGGAAGAAAAATTGGAATACATTTTCTCACTCTGTCTACCTTTTTCCCTGTGTCATCATCTTCATCCTGCATGTACAATATTCAGTTGTTGATACCAAGAAAACCTGAGGAAATCTTGTTACCCTCTTGTCTCAATCAAAACTTTTCATCTTCCTCTTCTTCCATCTCCATCCACCCTCCCATCTCTTCCGCATCCTCATCCTCATCCTCATCTCTCTCTCTCTCTTTTTCTCTCTCCTCGTTTTCCTCCATCAAGACCACGATAACAGTTCCAACGGTTTTATTGATTTTCTCAGTTTTTCTGCTTCTCCTTTTTTCCACCTTCTTGTTATTTAGGTTCAGATATTTTCCTCTGTTCATTTTACCATCAGAATCACCATGCATTTGATACATAAGGTGTATATTTATATTATAAATTGTATATAAACTTTCCCTAGGTTTTTGTTTTGCTTTGTTTACATCAAGAATATAATTGTGACACAAATAAAGTTGCCAAAAAAGTAAAGGGAAGAGGAAAAAGATTCACCAAGAATCTTTTCTCTTCCTCTGTCTTCATCTTTCGAAAAAGAAGGAAAAAAAATAAAAGAATTGGCCCTCTGCCATTATTCATGGTTAATAGTATTAAAATCATCATCATCAGTATCATGAAAATCATCATCTTCTTCATCCTCATCATTGTCATCATTATGATCATCAGGCAACAGTGGTGATGGTTATGGTGAACATTATCATTGATGAGAATCTGTAAGAAATGAATAAAAAAAAGAAGATGAAAATTAGATTTCAAAGTTAATGAGACTCCAGGAAGTTCAATATGACTTCAATTAACTTTAATTCTCAGTAATTAACTAAGCATAGCGATAAATTGTTGTTGTTTTATTTTCATTATTATTAAATATCATTAATTTTTATAACTGTTGCAAAGTTAATTCATGAGTAAACATTTAATATTTTCATTGAAGTATTAAAATCATCAACTCATCAATGGCAACATGTTGGTTATGGTGAACATCATTGATAGTGTTGAATTAAATTGATCAATTAATGACTAATTCAATTGTCATTAACTTTAATTTCAGATTAATAAGTACATAATTGTTGTTTTATTTATTATTATTAATAATAATTTTATAACTTTAATTAATTCGTAACAATTTAACATTTTCATTGAAGTTAACAAATTATCAACTTCCAATTGTAGTTTTTTTTATTACAATTCAATCTAAATATTCAATCAACACAATTATTTAATTTTTTTCAACATTAATTGTTTAACAATCGATTGATTTAAATAATCAGTCTGATAATTAACTTTCTATTAATTTTGTTTTTAGCTTGTTGGGTTTCAGTTTACTGATTGTAATTAAAAATGTTTCCCCCCTTTTGTTTTAATGATCACATTTAATGTTAATTGAAAAGCTTTATTTCAATTACAATTAACTTAATTATGATCCAATGGTCAATCAAGTGACTACCTCTTGTAATTAAATGGACATTTTATCGTTCAATTTAATTGTGTCAACACAAAAAATTTTATAATTGTGGTTTTCATTGTTTGTTGGTTAGTTTGTTAATTTAGTGATTGAGTTTGACTTTTATGTTGATTGTTATTGAAAGCAGTTAATTGAAACACACACAATTAATAGATTGTTAGATTTTCAATTGGTCATTTTTGTCAACTGTTCCATAATCAATTCAAATTGGTAATCAATTAGACAAAAAGAAATCAATGTTACACTTAAAATTGATTATCGATTTGGAAAATGTTAATGTTGAGTTAGATTTTCAAAATTTTTTCTTCTCTACCTGATAATCTCAATCAATCTAATTGTTGTCAGTTTTTTAATAATCTCTTGTGACTCTAATAATCATTCATGTTCCCTCATCATAAATTCACCATGGTTATGATTCATGAGAATTTCAATTTCTTCCTGTTGCCATGTTATGGTTTTCACTTTCTGGTTATGTTGTAATAAATTTTTTCACCATTTTAAGGTTTGTAAATTTCTTGTCAACTCAATAAAATCTTTAAACAATCTAATTGATTACCAATTTGATTTAAAGATTAACATGGTAATTAATAGAGTAATAACTTCGGTACTTACGTTTAATTTCAAGATGAGAATAATTATCTCTCCATGAATTCCAATTGTTTTTCTTTCTTGTTCCCCTCATCTCTCAATCCTTTCCATTGAAATTTATAGAGAAAATTGTTCGCTTGTTTGATGTTTTTTTCTCTTCTTCTCTTTTTTTTCCTCGTTTGTTGTTGGTTTTCCTCTTTTGTCTTGGATCATCTGAAAAGAAAAACAAATCACAGTTAATAATCATTAGCCTAATTACGACGGTTTAATAATTTTCTCTTTTGGCTTCTCATCAAAAAAGAGAAGAAAAAAAAACCGTTGGAGAAAAAGAGAGAAAAAAATGGAAAACAAAGAAAATTAGACAGTAAATTAGACAGAGAGATTAATAAGAGATCATCTTATCAACCAACCAATTGGAAAACAATAACAATCGGGCTCATCTTTCATTGCGAATTTGGATTAATTTTTTCTTAATTTTCTTTTTCTTTTCTCTTTCAATTTTTTTCCTCTCACCTTTAATCTCTCACCTCTCATTTAGCCACCATCCCTCCTCCACCAGGTAAGTTAATCCATTTGTAAATTATAATTTCTTTTCTATCTCTCAAATAGCCAATTGATTGCTAATCTTAACTCTCTTTCTTATTGTTTCTTTTTGTTTTTTTTTCTTACCTCATTTTCCGCCATTTTGTTTATTTTTTGGTTTGTTTTTCCTTTAGCTTGTCAGCATAATTTAACAGGGGAAAGTGGTCGTATCAATGGTACTAGAATTTCCGAAGATGTCATCAAATATTCAGAGGATTACTCGGTACCATTGGAATGTATTTGGAGTATCACCGTTAGTCCTGAGAAAAAGGTAAATTCATTTTCTTTTCTTTTCTTATTTATTGTTCCTTTTTAATCCAACAATTTCATTACATTTGAATATTATTTAATTCCATTATCACTTTAGTCTCTAATTAATTCCTTTTTAATATATTTATATAATTTAATTGTTACTCTCTCTCTCTCTCGTCTATCTAAATGATGAGAGAAGTTCAGTTATGGAAATTTTTCTTTCCCAATGGATTTAACAATATGTCCAATTTAATTTATGTATATCGATATTATTTCTCATTTTTCTTTCTCATTCTGTATTTAGGTTCACCATTTTACCTTTTTATCTCTTTTGGTCATTCATACCTTTCAGTTGCCTTTGACTTTCTAACTGACCAATCAATATCCTTAAAGAGTCCCAACAACAAGATCTTTCCTATTTTTATGCTTCCATGATTTCGTTCAACAAATTGTAGTTTATTATCACCATTTGTGTCGTTTTGCTTATCATGTACCATTGTCATCATCATCATCATCATCATCATCATCTTCCTCTTCATTCATTTTCAAAGGTGTAATGATTTTCTCGTATATATAATTTTGTAAGAGTGTGTGTGTATCTAAACCAAAGTTTCATTGAAAAGAATCCAAAAGATTACAATACACAGCAATGGAAAAGTGTAGTGGTAGAGAGAGAGAGAGAGAGAGAAAGAATAATAAAATGATGACCAATTCTGTTTACTGGTCAAGTAAAAGAGCCAAGAATTGGATGAATGATTATAATGATGTTGATAGTGTGTTAGTAATGTAACTAAAGTAGCTTGGTTATTGGTGAGACGAAGCTTTTGATGACCAGTAATTTGAGCTCATCATATGAGGTATTGTATTTTTGGTAGTTAAGCTCCGCAGAGTAGATGTTGATAATCACCATAATCATCAACATCTTCATAATCAAGTCTCATCTTTATTATCCTTAATTCATATTCTAATTCTTAATCATTAACTTCTCTTTCTTTCCTTCTCTTATTATAATTACTCAATAACCTTAGGCGAATGACTTAATTGAAGAAGCCGGTCAAACAATCAGTAAACAATGAACATGATGATGATAACATCAACATGCTTTTCTCTTAGGAAGAACAATTTGTTTTCGAAATGAAAAGAGAGGGAGAAAGTAAGAGAATCAAGGGGGAAAAAAGTATTGGTCAGTTTAAGATGATGATGAGAGAGAAAGTTATGGGTGATCCTGAGAATGAGTATGATGATAGAATAACAGACAAAGGATTATTACAACAAAGAAGATTATTCGGTGACCATGGTCAATCAATTCTTCTTTCTTTCTTTCTAACTGGACACTCTGTCTTTTTCAATTCAATCACAGTCTCAACTCTTTTCATCATGTTACTTTTTCCTCTCTCAATGTTTTCTCCAGCAAATACCATCAATATGGACATTCGAACGTTCAATTCTGTAACAATTTAATTTAACTTTATATATATTAACTATTCTGAAGCCAATTATTTTCGAGGAAGAGAAGGAAAAATAAGACGACAAACTAGGCTAACAAAATATTCGATAGAGAAAGTAAAGAGAGAGAGAGAGAGAGAAAGAGAAGAGCATGATGATGAAGAAGATTCATTTTCTTTTATAATGTTTCACATCTTCACAATGGAGGTTACATGAGAAAAGAGTTTTGTTCAAGATTCCAAGTCAAAAAACTCTTTGGTCTTTTTTTATTCTCTACTGTATTTTCTAAGGCTTAGGAGCAGAATGATGGTAAATGAGAGAGAAAGAGAGAGTGAGAGTGAAAGTGAGAGAGAGAGGAACTTGGAAGTAGTAGTAGTAATGGAAAGGATGATGATGATGAGAGAGAGAGAGAGAGAAGGCGAAATGATGAAGATGCGGAGAAATTATAAAAATAACATGAACACATTCAATTCTCTGTGTTGATACCAAGAAATTCAGAAAGAATATGTAATTTCAAAACAGAGAAAAATAAAAAAGAAAGAAGAATAGACAGATAAACTACAGGGTGATCTACGTTGAATGAGAAGAAAAAATTTCTAAATTGAACTGTTGAGAATAATAATTGAATCACTCATAACTGTAAATAATAAGATGATTATCATCTGGTTGTGTTGTTGATGATAGAAAATGATTAAAACGAAAGATGAAAATAGTTAAAATAACGATGATGATTATGATGATAATGATAATGATAAGTATCAAGTTCAATGAGGCACAAATTAACTCATGAACAGAGAGGATAAAGAGTATATATTATTATACAGAATCGCGGACCTCGAATATCCATTCAACCATTAGCAATTTAGAGCTTGGATTATTTAATAATTGATTTCAACTCGTTAAATTAATTATTATCAATTTTCTTGTTCCAAAGTAGTTTTAATATTATTATATAAACTGTTTGATAGTTTCCAACATGATGATATTAATTTCAATTGTTTTCTCTCTCTCTTTCTCTCCTCTAGATGTACATAAATTTTACGGATTATAAACTCGAGAAACCGAATGATTGTCATTTAAATTACATCGATATCTATGGTAACTCTTTACTAGAGACAAGTCGAAAAGAAAGGTTCTGTGGCACTGCCACCGAGCCCCACAAATCGGAAACAAATAAAGTACACATTAGACTTCATGCCAAACCCGGCGCCTTGAAATTTGCCTTCACCATACTCTTCACAGCCTTTAGAGAACCTAAAAATCCAGGTAAATATAATTCGCGATTCCAGTGGATTAGCCTGAGGGGATAATCTCCCTTTCGATCCATCAGTTAGTTGATTGGATTATTTTCTTATCGTTTTCTCATTTTCTACTCATTCATATTGACTATCAATTGATTGTTGTTGGTTAATTGTTTTCATCTTTTTTTCCCTCGCGTTTTGGTTTATCTGATTTCTCCTTTAATTTAATTTAATTCTGTTCAAGTTAACTTGCTTTTCTGTATTTATATTTGATGATGTTGCTTTATTCATTTTAATACTTGATTATAATGATGATGATGATGATGATTATCATGATTCAGTCAAGCTGTTTAACTTTGATGCCTTTTTTTTGTATGACAGAAAAAAAGTTCTAGACCTAAATTGTTTGGAGAGATGTTAATAATTTTCTGACAGTTAATGAAACAGTTTAGTGATTAAGGTTTTTTTTCCCCGAGTCGAAACTTGATCATCGTAATAAGTTACAAAGTAATACAAAGTTAATTAACTGAGTGTTGAAAGAAAAAAGTTTCGACAACTTTTCGAAAAGTTGATTTTCCAATTTGTTCAATTTTACTAATTTTTCTCTTCTCTTCCGTTCGATTAATTGTTCAGCTAAATGTGATCCAAAAACCGAATTCGATTGTGATGATGGGACTTGTATACACATAAGCTTAAAATGTGACGGTCATCCCAATTGCATATATCGATACGATGAGGATAAATCGGATTGCGAAAAAGGTAATTGATCATCTTAGCGAATTGATTATTGGCTTGATCATTTTGAGATTGATTTTCTTTTTGTTTCTCTCTTTTTCTTTCAACAGATTCGAAAAGTTTGACATCATTTGATTCCAATCATATGATAATCATTCTTATATTGTTTTTCGCATTAGTTATTGGTATGTGCGCTTCGATTGTTGTCTCATGTTGGGGCAAAATTCAGGAGCGACGTCAACGAGAATTGGAATATAAACTGAGAAGATCTCGAGAACCTTCAGTTGAACGTGATCTTGATCGAACCATCACCATGACACGAATTGAACCGGTTCTTGATTATCCGCCACCATTGTGTTCCGGTGGTGGTAAAGGCGATGGCGGTGGTGGTGGTAGTCTGGTGGGAAGTGGCGGAGGATCAACGGGTATGCTTATACGTTCAAATTACACTAAATCAAGTGCTAACCTTATGGATGCAAGTAACCCGGAGGAAGATGAACATGGATGCTATGTACCTGATGTTGGTGGTTATTATCGTAAAACTCCCACCGGTGATCATCATCATCATCATCATCATCCTGGATCATTACTTGATGATCTGGGAAGTGGTGGTGAAGATGGTGGCGGTGGTGGTGGAAGAGATAAATATCCACCAGAAAATGTTATTCGTTATCCAGTGTTACCAAATGATTGTCCCTATTACCATCAAGATTCCGACACGGGTCTAAGAAGTGGCAGTGAATCACCAATTCCTCCGCCACCACCACCTCCAGCTTTATCTCACCTTCGATCACGAAATACTCGGTCAACGACAACTCTTCCTTTGGATGCAAGTAAATTAGATACTCCTTCACCGCCTCCTCCACCACCACCTCATGGTATTGGTGTATCATCTTCCATTGTATCCTTGGACAATCATCATCACCATCATCATCATGCTCACCATTCTCATCAATCTCAACATCATCCTGATTGCGCTCAGCATCCCGGTTTTCCGGGTCATCATCATGATTCACTTCCTCTTTCATCGTCCTCTTCACATCATCGAACCCCAAATCCAGGAGACTACAGATCAGCCTCTGTGGGCCCCTCTCATCATCTCCACCATTCTAGTGGCGGAGGTGGTGGGGGTAGTGGAGGCGGTGGATCTCACGGGGAGGATACAGAAGATGAATCTGATGATAAAGTGCCTTCGTCGTCAAGTCGTCATGGCCGATTCAGGGCGGAAACTGTTATTGAAATGAGCTCATCAAGTGATCACACTGCCAATCGACCTCGAAGTTTCATCGAAACTCGTTCAGCTCCTGACGTTATCGTATTACGATGACAACCAGTAACAATTAATACTGCAACTGTTAATATTAATAGAAATGTTTTCAACTCAATTAATCAGGACCGAGAATCAGCCAACAGATGATGATGATGATTGTTGATGATGAGGATAAAATTTCAATTGAAAAGGAAAACCTCAACTCTTCAAATCAATTTTTTTTTCTTCTGTTTTTCGACAAGTTTTTTCACAACAAAATGAACTTTCAACTTGTCTTTTTTTTGCTTCAACCATGAAAAACTCATGTAAACAACAAGAAAACACTCAACACACTCACTCACTCACCCAAATGATAACACCAACATCTTCCACATCTCAACATTTATTATTATCACTAATTGTAACCGATATTGTTACGAAAAAAGAACTTTTTTTTTCTTCCTTCCATTTTGAAATGAAGAATCAATAATTTGTGACATCAATCAAACCTCAAAGGAAATGCCAGTGAAAAGACACACACACACACACACATACACACCGGAGGGGAACGAAAGAGAGATGAACAGAATTTTCAGAAATTTATACCTTTTATCATGAAGAACAACAAAGAACAGCAATGATAACACAACATCAACAAGTTCACCTACAAAATCAACAACAAGATGAAAACCTTTTAAAGACACAATTGATGCTGAGTCGACATTTATCTTTGTTTTCGTCTTGGAGGAGAAAAAAAAAGAAAGTGAAACAAGTATTAAAGAGGAAGAATCAATGGAGAGACAATTGATCATAACTCTCACACACCAAGAGCAAAGAATTGAAACCTGAATAACTTGCGTTTTTTGAAACGAAAATTGTGTTTGCAACATTTGCAATTTCCTGCCTCTCATTTTGCTCTCTATCTTCATCTATCATCTTTCATCTTCCTCTTTCTAATGAAACCCTTTCTTTTCCTCTTTCTCTCTCTTATCCATTTCATGTAACCTTCAACCTTATCAGGCCCTTTTTCTTGCCAACATAAACTGCCCAGGTTACGATGAGAAGCGGAAATTAGTTGGATATACAATATCTCGATATTTCATCTCTCTCTCTCTCTACCTATTCATCTGTCTTCCCTTTGATATTTTCCTCTCTCATCATCATCTCAAAATCACTCCCTGAATGGCAAAGTTTATATAATATGATTTACTCTCAGCTTATTGAAACCCATGTAAGAATCATGTACAGTTGTCTGGACACTTTGACCAGTTTGTTGATCGTTGATTTTTATTGATTGACGATTTTATCATCTTCTCTCTTCCTATCATCATCATCATCATCTCTCTCTCTCTCTCTCTCTCTCTCTCTCTCTCTCTTAATATTATATATTATAGCCACTAAATAACTAATAGATATATAAAACTATCCTCTAGTTGACTTGATTTGATGTTATTTTTTTTCCTCTTTGTTTTGGGTTATTCATAACACCACCAATATTATTATCTCCATCTTGTTCATCTCTCTCTCTCTCTCTTTCTCTTCTTCATCATCAGCAAAATCTCAGCCATCACCACCAGTATATATCATCGGTTTAATCATGAACGAGGAAGAGAAGAAAAAAACAACAACAGCAGCAATAATGGCAAGAACAATACGAATACAATAATAATGATAATAATTGTAACATAAAGATTAGCTTTATGTGTGTGTCTGTACAAAAGAGATGACAGAATAAAAAAAACATCCAATGGAACCTTAAGTTACAGGGAAGTGACCAGAAGAAAGTACAATAGACTTGGAATGGAAGAAGAGTGAAATGGTTGCTGGTCAGGGAAGAATATGCGATATAACATGAGGATTGTCAGGAACAAACAAGATGAAAGAGAAATGAGACCAAAAATGATGAAAAGGGAGAGAAAGAGAGAAGATGAAGACAAGTAGGAGAGCCGATGGGAGAAGAGAAGCAAAAAGATGGAGCAACTTTTTCAATGCACTTTACTGTTACTCTTGTTGATTTTGTTTTTATTCTAGATGGTTACATCCCAATGCTTATTCGAAATGTTCTCTTTCTTTTTTCTGTCTCCATTTTATCTTGTTATTCTTATTTTTCCGTCTTGTTCGTCTTCTTCTTTGTATCTAAATACGAGAAAAGATAAAAAAATCGTTAGTAGATTCAAAGACTCATTGATCTAAGTTACATCGTTGACAGAACCTTTACTTTCTCCTTAATATTTGTTTCTTCTCCTTCCCACATCCTTTACCATCATCATCAAGCTTCTCATCATCATTCTTTGCTTCTCATCCTTTACTATCATCCTCAGTTTTCATCCTTTTCCATCTCTTTCCATGCTTCTTTGCATCCGTTATCTCTTCTAACTGCAATTGATACTCTGATATTATTTTAACTTACCATGAACAACAGTCTCTCTCTCTCTCTCTCTCTCTATTTCCATTTAACAAGGCTAAGCAATTATCAGTGTTGAGACTCGAGAAGATGAGGAACACGAATATAAAATGATGATAAGATGTTAAAAATAAGAAGAAGAAGAAGATGAGAAAAAAATAAAGGGCAACAAGTCGCAGGGGACATTTTGTTTTCTCCATCAAAATCAAAGGGAAAAGAAGTTGATCATTTTTCTTTTTTTCTTTTTTTTCACTCTTCCATTGATCCTTTGCTCTCTCTCTCTCTCTCTCTCTCTCTTTGATCCAAATTGTTACAATAAACACCCAAATTATATAAACAAGAAACATAAATATATAAACTTCAAGTGAACGGGGTGAGAGATGAAAACAAATGAATCATTTCAAATGAATCATTTGAAATGATGAGGGAGAAAAGGGGAAGAGTAGAAATTTAGAAGAAAAAAAAATTGTCACAAACAAAAGAAAAGCATAATTTTAATGCCTTTAAATTTCAACGATTTCGAATCAGCGCTCAAATTTTGAGGAAGATTAATTAATTTGGAAGAAATTTTCTACTAATTGGAAATTAACTAATTAAAAGAAAATCAAATCTCAATAGAAGAAAGAGAAAAAAATGGTAATTAAGAAAAAGCCCCTTCTCTTTTCCCGCTTGTCATCAAATTGACTTAATTTTCTCAATTTCAATTGGCAACAATGTTCAATGTTTTCTCTTTATTAGTGTTAATTTTGTTTTGTTAACTAATTAATTCTTCTTGTTCATCCGAATCTCCATGTTTATCAGTTATCACCATGAATGGTAAAAGAATATCAATTACGATAAAATAGAAATTGATTTTGGATCTTCAACTGTAAAAACGAAAACCTTATTACATGAAAAACAACAACATCCTCATCTCTATGTGTTAAAATCCTTTGTATCATTTTCTTTTATTTTTCCTTTCTTCTTATCTTCTTATTCTTCCTGAGCATCTCTTCAACCTGTTTCATCATCATCATCATCATCATCATGTTCTTCCTCCTCCTCGCCATCATCATCATCATCTTATCCTTCACAGAGATGCTTCTGCTCACAATAAACAAACAAATTTACTGGTAAATTTAATGGCAAACATTTTTTGCTCTCTCTCTCTCTCTCTCTTCCTCTGTCGAAGTATAATCGACACTCTTTCTTCTTGCTCTTCATCACACTTTACCTTTTTACCTTTACTCTGCATCTTTTTTTCACCATCATCTTCATCTTCATCGTCGCCATCATCTTATAAACGTAAAGCATCAGCATCATCACTCTGTCTCTCTCTCTCTTTTTGTATTTAATATTCGGTGCCAATAAGCATTGCTCAACGAAGACCTAAAGTGAATGTGGAAGATGAAATAATAATTAATAATTAAGACTTTGTTATACATATAAATATATTAAGAATCATGGAAAATTCTCATTTCATCTGTAACTTAATGTTGACATCAAGGAAACATCTCGAATCAATCAAAACCAAGAAACCACAGAATGACAACAATAATAATAATTATAAACAAAAGATTAACAATAAGATTAACTAAAAGCATAAACTGCATCAAAAAACAAAGAAATCACAAAAAATTTCACATTTCACACTCACCTGAACAAAAGGAAATCACTTTTCACCATAAACCAACCCTTCAGATCGTAAATTTGAATAATTCATCAACCAGACAATTAACTTGAACAAATAATCTTTTTTTTCTTCTAATTAATCCACTTCAAGGAGAGAAGAGACTCAATAATAATTCTTAATGATGAAAATCTCGACAAAATTGACATGGAGAGAAACCAAATGAAACTATTACTATGACGACGACGAATTTACCATTTAATTTCCTAACCATCGGAATCATCATCAGTTTTATTGATCAATTAAGAGAAAATCAAATTCGAACAACTTAATTACCTTATAAACATAAACATCATCAATATGACAAGAAAAAGATGAACAAGTCAATGGATCAACGATCAGTCAACATTGAGACACAATATCAATTGAATCGGAATCTCGTGAACAAATTCAATTACTGTTTATCGAACAATATTTTCCATGAAAAGGAAATATTAAAGCTCAAAAAGATGATTTAATCGTTAAATGATTAAAGATGATTCATGTTCAATTGGAAGGAATTAAAATCCTTGTTCTCCATCAATTGTGTTAACAATTAGGATTCTTCACAATTTAATCAATCTGATTACGAATGAGAAAGTTGATTGCTAGTTAATTATGCTCTTTGACCTCTTTTTTGAGAAAGGGTGAAACTATTGGTGAAATTATTCATCTTTTAATTGTTACCCTTTTCCAATTAAGGTTAAGCCTCAATCTGATTTTCATTTTCGTTACGAGCAAGAAAAAACAAAATGGTGCCTTTTATGATAAATGCACTGGAATTTAAATGATTATTATTTTATTATCACCATGCAATCAACTAATCATCGTAATCAATTGTATTAACAATCAAAGAAGGATGAAGAAACAACAATCAAACCTCAACTAATTGTCTCCAAGAATCATTAATTGTTGATGTGCCAACAAGATCATCAAAAAAGTCAACGATTGAATTTATATTTCTGACGATCATCAAACTTACACCTGAACAATTTAGTTAATTTTTTTTTCTCCAGAAGCAATATTATCTCAATAATTACACCATTATTATTACTACTGTTATAGCAATTAATTAACTAATCACAAGATTTTCTCGCCGATCGTCATTATCTAATTGTATTTACAGCATTTAAGTTTTTGCTCCCAATGTTTTTATATTATCTGTCCAAATTCAATTTCCAATGTTATCCTTTGGCAGATTCTGTTGATGATTATATTGTTATAACAATAATGCTAACAAATGGTTGATTATCATCTTCAATGACAATTAACTTGTATTTTTAAAAACCAATTTGCTCACCAAGATTTTAAATCAATCTATCAACCATTTGTTAAATAATCTCTCTCTCTCTCTCTCTCTCTCTCTCTCTCTCTCTCTCTCACTCTCTCTCTCTCTCTCCAACCATTAAGATAGAGACAGTAACTTAGTTAATAGAGACTCGAAACAGTTAATCATTATTTCAATTATGTTTTAATTATTTACCATTATTATTATGGTTAATTGCTATTACTTATAATCAATTGTTACCACAGATGAAGATATAAAGATTTATTATCAAATGATGATGATGATAATGATGATGAATAGATTAAGGAGATTAAGATTAAATAATCTGATGAAAAAGGAAATACAAACAAATAACTTTTCGCGAGTCATGGCGATTGTGATAATTGTTGATGTTTGACAATCAACAATTATCTTTCACATCATCTTCATCATCATCTCTCTCTCTCTCTCTCTCTCTCTCTCTCTCTCTTCCTCATAATCATCAATACGACTCAGTCTCTTTTACTCCCAGTCTAATATACAAATATACAGAATCTCATATATCCTGTTAATTTTTTTCTCCATCAATTTATCCTCATCTTCATCTTCTTCATCATCATCTCTTCATCCACCTTCAAATTCCTCTCTCTCTCTCTCTCTCCCACTATATTCTCAATCAATGCTTTCAAATTTTTCTTCGCAAAAATTATTTGATGATAAAATTTTATTGAAAGAAAAACAAAGAAAAAAAGACAAGAAATTATTGTTTCATCTCTTCCCTTTACAACAAAATCATAGGTTCTTTAATGGTTAATTGCTTCCTTCTTTTTTAATAAATTTTATGGCAAAATTTAGGAAATTTAATAAAAATGAAAATAAATTCTCGAACTCAAATATCTAAATTGTGTCGACTTTATTTCTAACATTAACTTTCATATCCAAAGTTCTGCTTTCTATTGATTTTTCATTCCATTTTTTTCTTCTTTCCTTTTCTCAAGTTGGCTAATTATTTTCATCATGTGATTATCAAATAATATTTCTTTCATTTTCTTTGATATTACTATTATTTAATTGATTGATTTTCATTTATCGATTTTTTTTCGTCAAATTTCTTTTTCAAATTTCCCGCCGGTTTCTATGGTTACCAGAAACTCAGTTCAACTTTTTGTTTGTTTTGAATTTTTTGTTTTTGTTTAAATTGTTTTCTGATTAATTTGATTGTTTGTTAAATTATTCAGTTTAATTATGGTTATTGCATTAGGTTTTGAGGGAAGTGCTAATAAACTAGGAATTGGTATTATCAAGGATGGTCAAGTTTTAGCTAATCCTCGTTCAACTTATATCTCACCTCCTGGACAAGGTTTGTCTTAATTGTGATTAAGAGTTTAAATTTGATTTGATAATCTATCATTGATAATCATAATCTACATTTCGTTTTGCAGATTCTTGTGGTTGGTGTTAACTTTTTGCACATTATTGATTTTGTTTCTTATTTTCTCTTCTCAAAGGTTTTCTCCCCCGAGATACAGATAAACACCATCAGAATAAAATTCATGAATTACTTGGTAAATGTCTTGAAGAAAGTCAATGTAAACCTGAAGATATTGATGTCTTGTGTTATACCAAAGGCCCTGGAATGGGAGCCCCTTTACAATCAGTCGCCATTGTGGTTCGAACATTATCTCAACTTTGGAATAAGCCAATTGTAGCTGTTAATCATTGCATCGCTCGTAAGGGTTTTTAATATTCCTCTTTAATGAGAATTTTTATTCTAGAATTTAAATTTTTCTTTACTCTCTCTTTCTCCTTTTCCGTGAATGAAATTTTTCTTCTTTCAAGACATTGAGATGGGAAAGTTAATTACTGGTGCCAAAAATCCAACTATTCTCTATGTTAGTGGAGGAAACACTCAAATTATTGCCTATTCCAATGGAAGGTACAGAATCTTTGGAGAAACCATAGATATTGCTGTTGGCAACTGTTTAGATCGATTCGCTAGAGTTCTCAAGGTAATTAATCAGAACTATTAATTAAATTTAACTTCCAGAGTCTAATTAAGTTTTTTCTTCTCATATCGGTCAACATTTCAATCCCTTTTAAACTCTAGCTTTCAAACGATCCTAGTCCTGGTTATAATATTGAACAAATGGCTAAACAGTAAGTTGAAATGGAATCGAATTCAATTTGATTAGTGATCAATTTTATATTATTTCCAGTGGTAAAAAATTAGCTCCACTTCCGTATGTAGTCAAAGGAATGGATGTTTCTTTCTCTGGATTACTTTCATTCATCGAGGTAAATGTTTTTTCATTTACTAATTTCGTAGTTAATTAATCTAACTTATATTTTCTCTATTTCTAATTAGGAAAGAACCGATAATTGGTTGAAAAAGGGTGAATATACACCTGAAGATTTATGTTTCTCAATACAAGAGACCATTTTTGCAATGTTAGTCGAAACAACCGAACGTGCGATGTCCAATACAACTTCTAAGGAGGTTTTAATCGTTGGTGGCGTTGGATGTAATGAGAGACTGCAAAAGATGATGTCAGGAATGGCCCAAGAACGAGGGGCGACACTTTATGCAACCGATGAACGATATTGCATCGATAATGGAGCCATGATCGCTCAAGCTGGAACTTTACTATTTCAAAATGGACATTTAACTCCCGTTTCAGAGGCAACGATTACCCAGAGATTTCGTACCGATGAAGTTCCGGTTGATTGGATTGAATAGAAAACCAAAGAAAATTCAATCCGATTATCATCTTGTTGTTGTTTATATTTTTCAAATTAATCAATTCTCGAGTTTTGTTCATTCAAAAAGATCAATAACTAAGAAATTAATACTTTCAGTTACATTTGAAACTCGAATAAAACAAAAAAACAATTAAGATACAATGGACAATTGAGTCGACGAAACAATTGAAGTTCATTTAGTTTGAATTTAATTTAAAGTAATGAGATAAATTTTACACTTTTCTTAATTGTAACAAAAAGAAAATCGTTTTTTTTCATTCGCAATAATTAGCTGATTGATTCGATTGTGAGGGAATTGGAATATTTTAAACCGAATTTGATCAACTCGTAAAAATGATTTACTGGACAATTTTTTTTGGCTTAAATATAATTCACTATATATTGTTCAATACGAAGAGAAAAAAAATGTTTCAATATTACACAAGAGTCAAATAATACACAATCAGAGGTTCTATCTTTTCGGATCAGATCTTTTCGCTTGAAGTTCCTTAAGAGCGCTACTGAGAAATGCTAGATGACCTTTGGGACATTTATTAGCATAATGACCTCTCTCTCCACATTTATAACATGTTACTTGGTCTAATGGCCGGTGAACTCTTTCTTTACCTCCTTGGGCATCTTCCGAATCATCAGCATTTATTGGCGGTGGTCCACCTTTCTTGATAAAGTTTGGTGAAGGTCCATGGTTTTGATTTTGATGAGGATGTTGATGATTTGGATGATTAGAATGAGGTTGATGATGATGGTGATGATTAGAGTGATTAGAGTGTGAAGGATGATTAGAATGATGGGAATTGTGATGTGAATGATGAGGAAGCTGTTGACCAGGGTGTTGTTTCATTGAGAATAATTTACTCTGAATTGCTTCTTCACGAGCTTCTGGTGTCATTTTTGGACAATTGTAAATTTTGTGTCCTGATTCGTTACAATAATGGCAAATAACAGTTCCTTTTTTGGTTTGAATAGTAGGATCATTTATGGGTAAATCGAAACGAGGATGAACAAATTTACATTCAGGTCCAAGGGGACAGAAACCAGCAAGATAACATAAACAAATCAAACGTCTTGTATGTCGATGGCGACAATTGGGACCATGGCGACAAAAACCTCTATCATACCAGGGACAATCTTTAATCTTGGATTCCGGGTCAATATGAAGAAAGGGACATTCTTTATTACTACAGGCATGAAAACGAGAGTAAAAGTAACACTCAGGCATTTTGGATGCATCAAATTCATGGAGAAACTCGCAGAGATCACCCTTTTTACATAAACCACGCAGCCAATGTTTACATACAACCGACCGGTCTCCCTTTATGTGTCTAAAAGGACAGTTAAGTCCACGAGGACAGTCACCGCGAAGATGAGCAATACAAACAGCAGCCCCTGACTTATCCATACCCGGAAAAGGTAAATTCAAAGCACCGATTTGCTCCTCCAAAGCAGTTTCCACTTCAAAAATAATATCATCAGTTCTGGCAAGTAATTCCTCCATAGTGAACACAAGTAAATATAAAACAAACAAGCAAAAAAAAAGGTCAATTCAACACAATCGATGAAATCAAAATAGGATAACTTTATTGTTTAGACATAGGTAACTAAATCTATTAAACAATAGCTTCAAACAACCAAAGGAACAATAAATTAACACTAAGAAAAAGCTACAATTTTAACCAGCAATTAAAAAGATTAATAAACTATAGTAAACACTTTAAGATCCAAAATGTTTACTATCAACAACAATTCATTTCCATGTTAATCGTAATCATCGAATAATTAAATCGATTTAAAATCACCGATCGACCGATTAATAGAAATTGATTATTTTCTCTCTTTCATTTGTCTCTTTCTTTTCCTATTCGATCGTTAAAATCTAACTTAGTCTCCTCCCCAATTGTCTAAACTCTTTCTTTTCTCTTTCGCACAAACATCGATTCTTATCGATTTTCTTTTCGATTGTTCGAAAAATCTTATTAAGCTAATTACGAATAGAATTTAGTAAATTTAGTAAAGTTGAGATGGCGACACTTTCTGTTGGAATTTCTCGTTGCCATGTTTTGTTTTGTTCTTTCTTTGGTTTTGGCGGTTAAGAAAAAAACAAATTCTAATTCTGTTGGAAAGAGAAAAGGTTTTCCTTTTAGTGTTCAAGTTAATTAATCAAATTGTTTGTTTATATTTTCGTTTTCTTTTAAATTTATAATTTGTGTTGGTGACTTGGTTTGTTCGGTAATTAGTAAAATGTCACGAGAAGTTGTCTCAATGTGTCTGGAAGATCATGAGAAGAGTGTTCGTCCCTGTTTATATGATTTCCAATGTATGATTTTAAAGAAAGTGGAAGAGGCTTTGGAGAAGAAATTTGATTCATTGATGCGGATGTTTATTCATCAAAAAGCGTTGGATACGCATAAATACAATGATTTGAAGGATAAATTTGTTGGTGACATTATGGCTCTACTGAGACCAAAATATGAAGGATTGTTTAACGATGACGAGTTAAAGAACCGAATAGAATCGGTCAATCCAAAAAGGGAATTCAATTTTTTAATGGATGAGGGTAATATTCTTGCTAAATTGTTGAAGCCATTCAAATATGAACAGTTGGAGACATTTAAGCAGTTAAAGGATAAAGTGAGTAAATTGAAAAAGGCAGAAGAAAAAATTATTGAGGAGCTGCAATTGGAGATGGCTGAAGTTCAATCAAAACAGCGATGCATAAAGAATCAAACTTTAAAGGTGATTTCGAGTGATTATACCGCAGATTTACCAATACTCCCGGTCATGGATTCCGATTGAAGAGAGAAGAACCAATGGCAGAAGAAAAAAAAACCATCTACAATCTTCAACAGTTTCCATCTTATCTCTGTTCTCATTTTATAATTAATTATTATTATTCGCATTTATTAGATGATTTTGGGAAACAATTTCTATTTGAGTAAGAAAGTTAAGCCTTCTCTTCTTTCTCTTTCTTGTGCTTCTTTTTCTTCAAGAAGGATGGTGTTCGAATTCCCTTCTTCTTTTTATCCTTTTCAGATGTTGATGTCGCTGTAGAAACAAAAAGGAAAAGTAAAAAGAATTAATTATCCCGATCAAACTGTAAAAATCTACAATGAAAAAGTTAATTGTCATGCAAAACACCAAAGAAGCGCAAGCAACAATCAGTCAAAATAATTCATCGGCTCATAAGAAATCAATGTTATCAAAAAAGGTAAACAAAAACAAAAGTTATTATCATGAGAAAATAACAAAACATAAACAATAAATTTCTAAAAATCTATTGACAAGGCAAAGCGAAAACAAAACGCATTTTAAATGATTAATTTCAGCAAATTGAAAACAAATATAATTAAGTTAATTGTTTGGTTACCTTCAGTTTTACGAGACTCAGAAAATTCTGAAAGTGACCAAATTCACGTTAGTTAATTAGTTGGATGAACAAATCGATGATCAAAACAGTCAAGTGAAGGTGATGGTAAATCGAAGGTAGAAAACGAAAAGAGAGAGAGAAAAAGATTAATTTGTTAATCGATTATGAAAGAAATTGAAGTTTCGATGATTAAATAAATCATTGAGATTAATTAGCAGACACTAATTAGATGAGAACAATAATTAATAATAATAAGCAGAAGGTTAAATTATCTTATTAGCGATTCTCATGCCAGATGATCAATTGAATTATCCAGCAAAAAAGCTAAACAAACCAACAGAATAATAATGATAATAATACTAAAAGAAATTAAAATTAAAGTTAATTGTGAACAATAAAACAATACGAAAGTGATTGTTTTAAGTTTGAAAACTTTTTGCTTTTTTTTCCAACAGAAAAAGAAACAACAACAAAAGCATTTGTATCATGTTAGTAGTTGGAAGAAGATTAGTTGCTCCATGATATTAATTGTTACTCTGAGTTCCATGTAATTAATTAATGCATCAGCCCAGTTGGAAAATAATAACATCGCAAGGTGAGTGAGAGAGAGAGAGAGAGAGAGAGAGAGAGAGAGAGAGAGAAACATGATGATGATGATGATGAGAAAGAAGATAAAAAAGACTAACCATCAGGGCTCGGCGTTATAATTATCTGAAGATCTGAAGTTTTTGGATGATCCAATAAAGATTTGGAGGCTTTTTCTTCATTGTCAGTTAATTGTTGAGTAATTTTTGTGGGTTTGTTTCAGAAAATAAAGAGGCAAACAATTAGAAATACACAATCAACACAATTAACAACACACAGAGTGGCTAAGGTAGACTGATCTTGAGAGAGAGAGAGAGTTGAAAACTATTGATACAAAAAGTTTTCCCATAAAAAATTAACTAAAATTCAAGTTTATCAATAAATATACAGAAATGATTAAAGATTATCAATCATCTGAGATTATATTTGAATTTTGTCTGTTTCCTTGTTCAGTAAAAATGAAAAGTCTCATGAAAAAGTTTTTCCATTCATTAGGAAATTTGTATGTGTGTCTCTCTCCATGTTATCCAATATATATTTAAGAAGATTATTGATTATGTTGAATATTGATTGGATTTAGAATTAATGATATTTGATTGATCAAATAATTAAATAAGAGTAGTGAAAGACTATTAGGGTTGTAGTTAAGTTTTTTACCTTCATCAGAAATTGGTGATTGAGGAGATTTAATTTGTTCAACAGGACTAGTGATTGTATGATCCTCATTAATATGGTCCACCACTGGTTCCAATAAAAGGTGTTTAAAACGATCAGGAATATCATCAACTTGAGAGAGAGAGAAAGAAAAAGAGAATCGAATTAAAATTAAAGTTCTAATCAATTGATTTTGTGAGATATTTTCTTTACCTGGTTCGCCTCTTTGTTTCTTTTCGATATATTTTTTGTATTCTTCCAATTCTTGATCGGATACATTGTCGAATGGATTTTTGGCATATGCACTCTTGTAGACTGTTGCATTGTGTTGAAATTCCCGTTGAATTATGCCTTTCGAAGCTGCACCGACAAGGACTACATGATCAGTCTCATCTCCTCCTCCGCTTCCGACAGTTTGTCGTTTATTCAGTTCTTCCCATGTAACACCTTCCAAAATATGACTTTGTGGGCCACCGGAGATTTTATTTTGCATTCTTACTTTTTTCATCTGTAAATTGGATAAAACAAATGATTGATTAATATTAATTCGTATCATTAACTAGAAGCGGCAGCAGTGGTTATGGTTATCATATCGAAACAGTGGGAAAATGATAATGTTCAAGTGGATCAATCAAGAGAAACAACGAAAAATAGTAATAAAAACTATTCCAGACGCATCATCATGATTCCTAATTCTCATTCTGATAATCACTTTTTCTTCCTTTTTTTTTCAATACGAAATTTGTCCTTGGACTCTTTTCGAACTGAACAACCCTAATGCTTTCATGATGGAACAAGTGAGAAAAGGAATTGAGGTCAAATTATAACAAGTAGATAGGAAAACGAGAAAAATAATAGAAAGTGGAAAAAGAGAGAGAATAAGAAAGAGATAGAGAGTTTTTTCCAGAGAGAGAGAGAGAGAGAGAGAGAGAGAGTTTATTCAGGGTATAGTTGCCAACGCCCTAATTCTTGTGATCATCTTCATCTCTTTCCGAGGCTCAATTTTTATCCATCGTATAAAAAGATACATCCTTTACTCTCTCTCTCTCTCTTTCATTTTCTCTTTCATTAGCTGATTGTATGTGTATATCATTAACTTTTCATGTTCCTTGAAAAATGAACCACCTTATTATTATTTTCTAGTTTCGCTTTTGATTATTGGGCATTTGATGAAAGAAAATCAAACCTCTTCCTGTCTTCGCTTAAACTCGGCGGGATCCCCATTAACAGGCACAAATTGATGAGGATTATCAATTTTAACTGGATTGCTATGTGAAGGTGAAGAATCTTGAATCCACTATAAGAAAAAGGCAGAGAAATGAAAGCAGAGAGAGAGAGAGAGTGAGAGAGGGAAGAAAAGAGACAAGGAGAGAGAAAAATGGAAAGGTAGAAAGAGATAGAAAAAAATGAGAAAAGAAAACAATTAAATTGAGACAAGTTAATCATGTTTTATGTTTTTATTATTAAAAGAGATCGATAGAGTAGAGTAAGTGTGTGAGGGAGCAAAGAAAACAATAGAGTGATGATGAGGATAAAATGCAATTGATGATATCAGTTAATAACCGTTATTATTATTATATAATGTGAAATTATATCATTATCATTATTATTGTATTAAAACTATTGTTATTAATGAAATTATTATTTTTCCAGGTTGAGGATGAGTTTGAGGATAGAAACAAGAAGATGAGGAAAGAGAGAGAGAGCAGAGAGAATCGGTCTTGTTTTTTTCAGGTAAATATATATGTTGAAAGTGTGAAAATAAAAAGAGACCATGATAATCAGGATGATTATGTTATAATCATGGTTGATAATATATTCTAGGTATGGTAACAGAAATGATAAAACTCTAAAGATGAACAAGTAATAAAACAAAAATTGATACAAAAGGTGCGGCAACAAAACGGATAACATGTCTACGAATGAGTCTCAAGTGGTTACAAGATAAAATACAATCTAAAAATTGATTAAAATCTATAGATAATTAATTAACTGTAATTATGTGTTCATTTGTAATACTAATCCTAAAAACTTTTTTGTTTCATCTTTTCTTTTAAATTCTTAGGGAGTCAAACTTTTCTTAAATAATATGATTAGGTGATTGTAACGCTGAAATTAATTGGGAGAAACTTTTTCTTCAGGATGATGACAAAATAAAGTAAATATTGAGAGAGAGAGAGAGAAAGAGAAAGAGAAAGAGGGAGTTGACGGGAGAGTAGGTTTTAAATTGTAAAAGTAACTACTAAGAAAGAAACATTTCATCATAGTAATTTTGTGAACTCAATTAACAGGTTTCAAGGTAGAAAATGATGATAAAGTCGAGAGAGAGAGAGAGAAGCTGAAAGTCTTGAAAAGTGAGAGAGGCAACACTTGAGTGGGAGAACGATAGGTAAGTCACGGTAAGCGTTTTACTAGAAAAGAAAAAGTTTGGTCGATTAAACTGTAATAGTGGAAAAGATGATGGAAGATGAAGAGGGAGAATAGGAGAGAATCAGGTAGATGGAGATTGGAATAAACAAACAAGCTGCAACTAAGTTTTTCTTCAGAAACAACACATCCTTGAAAAAAGAAAGAGAAAAGAAAGAGAAACGTGAAATAAGTCTGACTGAGAAAAAAAGATGGAGATGAATCAAAATATGAGGTAATTCTGCTGCTTGTTTCTCTTTCATATTCTTCATCAATCACTTTCTATCCAAATAAGAAACCTTGTTAAGGTAAATTCTTTGACCATTATCATCATCATCATTTCTAATCGTTATCAACATTTTTATAAGCATAATATCAATTTAATAAGCGGAATACCAATCAACTATTATCATCAAGTTTCCTTCATCTTCAGGGGTAAAATTATCTAAAATCTTTCTTCCTCTTTTTTTATATTCTTTCATGACTAACTAATTCTTTGAGAAAACAATTCATCGTGATAACTATGCACACACAAACATAGATTATCATCACTGTTAATCAAAAATTAATTGAAAAAAAAACTAAATTTGAGGACTAGATTAAGGAATATAAGGAGACACCGAGGGAGAATAAGGAATGATTAAGGAGCCAAACCCAAAAAAGAAAAAAAATCGTCTCAATCACTGACAATTCGTCAGAATAATAAAAATGGTGGAAGACAATTATGATAGAGTCTTTTTGACACAACAACGTGAAATAAGAAAAAATATTAATAATAATAAGCTTATGGCAACAATTTGTTCCTCAAGTGAAAAAGAAGAAACAAAATTCAACAGAATGGAGAAAAAGCAAAAGGGGAATGTCTGAATATTAATTGAATAGACTGAGAGAGTAGGTAGAACAAATTTCTGAGAAATAAACTTGCGCAAATCTAAATAATAACAATCAATTTGTAAGCAACACTGTTGAACTTTTGGTGAACGCAAAAGCAAAGCGACAGATCAACAATTAATCAACTGATCAAATGCTAATATATGTTGGGTATGGTCAAATTTAGAGTCTGAAGACTGAAGAGAGATGATATCTATTAAATTTGTTGATTAACTGTCAACTTTTAAATGAGATCAGCGTTTTGCTTATGCGCAACTAGACGTTCGGTAATTTATCGGGATGGAAAGAGAGAGAGAAAGAAAATATATTAATTTCTCTTGTTATTGTTTTTTTGCCTCTGCCCTTTAAGTTACTTGCGAGTAGGTTAAACAATAGCTTTCATTGAAAGAGAGAGAGAGAGAAAGAGAGGGAGGGAGGACAAGGTTAATTAGATTAAGTGCATTAATAATTGTGGGATATTCTGTTGATAGTATTTGACTTTGATGGGTAAGAGAAAAGATAAATGAGCAGATAGTTTTATCTCCTTTCTGTTACTCTATTATATCCTCATTATTTTTTACCGTTTCGTGCAAAGTAAATAATAATGTAACTAAACTGGTTGCTGGTGAAGCTCATGCACTTGATAAAAGCAAAAGGAGTGAGAGAGAGAGAGAGTGTGTGTGTGTGTGTTTCATGTGGAAGGATAGAAGTAAATGTGATTAAGGGAGGGGTCGCAGCTTTGATTGTGTATGTGTTTGTGTATTTTTGTGAGTAAATAGTGGCAGTAGTGCTTAGTATTGCTTCACTCTTTTTTGTTTGTCTACGTGCGAGAATAAAACGTGCTCAGAGATGTGGATGATTGGTTAAAATCCTTGTACCTTGGTAATTTTCTTGGGATCGAGTGTGCCGGTCTCGGAGATTTCCACTTTTTGGTATGAATTTGGTGAATTGACCCATTTAAGTTTGTCCTGAGTTTTCTTTCCATCGACCAATTTTTTTAAAGGACTCAACCATTTGTCTCCTTCAAAGTATTGGCTAAGTGAAGTTGCTGCGGGCGGTATCTCAATGTCGTATTTTGGTCTTTGCTGGTCAGCACGAAGTAAAGGTTGTCTGTAGATGTATCCTGTACGGAAGCCCTGAAATTAATACACAAGTTGTAACAGAGAACAAAAAAAGAAAGAATTAGAAAAAGGGCAAAATAATGATATCATGATTGATAAGCTTAAAAACATCATCATGTATTGATGATATTGAGAGATTAGGTGGAGATTAACTTTTCCTTAAAGATAACCGCCAAGATAATAGAAAATCAATCGAAAGGTTAGATTATATTAGGTAATATTTACCGCATTATCGAGCATCCGCATCTGAGCTTCAAATTCGAGATCCCAGACTTTCCATTTTCTAAGTGTCTCTCTGGTCACATCGTTGATTTTATTTGTTTCACTTTCTTCGGTCTTGGGAGTACCGTGAACTTTAGCTACCGGGGCTTTCACCACACTACGAACTTGTTCAACTGCTTCCTGGGTCATTTGGTAAATATTATCAAGTCCAATGGATGAAAGTTTTACTTGAGTTTCACATGCAAGTACCACATTTGTCATCAAATGAAGAGCTTCTTCAATTGTATCACCACAGGTCAAAACTCCATGATTTCTCAAGAACAAGACCTTTAAGGAAAAATAGAATAAGATAAAAAAAACAAATATAAGGTGATACGGAAGCGAAAGAGAAGAAAATAAATAAAATTAATGATTGTTAATGGAGACCACTCGATGTTAATAGGTAGAGTGATTTAAGTGATTACTCTCTCTGAATGAATCTTGGTGAATCACTTAAACCATTTTTATCCAGAAGAATCAGCAAGATTCATGGAGGGAGAAGAAATGAAAGTAGTTTAGGAAGGAGAAAAATGGACTAAAAAAGGAGTAGCTAAGAGAGGAATGAACTCGATAGATAAAGTAAACATTAGATTACCTTATTGGATGGACCAAGATTACGAGCGATTTCTTCACGTTCATCGGGATTAATCACAATCCCCTTGAAATCATGATAACTAACATCCCCAATGATAGCTGATTCTTGGCTAATCTTTAGTAAACCACATTTCATTGATGAAATAGCAACACAGGAAGGATAATGCATGTGAATAATTGCTTTACAATCGGGTCTCGCTGAATGAACAGCTGAATGAAGAACAAAACCGGCTCTGAATCACCGAAAATTGAAGATGAGAGAGAGAGAAATATATCAAAAAATAAAGAGAGCAGGGTCAGATAAAGAAAAGTAGGTGAATTAGGCAAAGAAGAAGAAAAAAAAAATGAAGAGATGATTGGATAGAGAAAAAAAGATTGTGATGAGCATCAAAAATTGAGAGAAAAAAAAACCGATAAAGAATCAGGGTCAATATTTATAATGATAGAAAAATGCATGAAAAAAAGTGATTGGAGTTAATTTATTTGGACAAACCTATTAAATCCAAAATTAGTGGAACCTGGATTGATAACATTTCCTTGCATATCTACTTTAAGTAGAGATGAGGCAGTTACTTCATGGTATTGTAAACCAAATGGGTTTAGTAAGAAATGCTCTTGGTCCTGACTAACTCTCACCTAAAAACAGAGAGAGAGGTACAAGTAAAGATACAAATATAAACATGTAAGAATTATAAATAGAGTAATTATATAGTTACCACTATGGAGTAAACAAAACAAAAACTAATTTGTTGATTAGAAGAGAACAAAAAAAAGAGTAAAATTTCAAACAAAATGTTAAAGTGACTTACAGAAATGTGATTGTAAATGCTTTGAGACCAACCATAAAGGTCAACAAGACGGTAAACAGCAGCAAGTTTACATCGAAGCAATTTCTCGCCTTTAGCATAATTAAAGGCATCAACACCTCGAATATCATTGATTGGTATCGCTGAGGAACCAAATCGAGCTAAGGACGAATTTCTCGCTGAATTGGGTAACAATAATTCGGTTACTTGTTGAAGAGCCGATAAACTTGATGGAGAATAACCTTCATTTATCTGTGATTCAATTATCCTTTCCAATTCTTCTCTAAACAATTGACTATTAATAACCATTTCAACTCGTTTCCGTCTCTCCATTTCTTTGAGATCTTGTTCAATATCTGGTGGTTTATTTACTTGATTCATATTGATAATATCATCATTTGTTGCTAATTCAGTTGAGGATGGATCATTGTTATCATTAATAATATCTGCAGTGGTGGTTAGGTTGTTTGATATATCTCCATTGGCTTTCCTTGTGGTTTTAGAGATCTCCATTTTTTTTTAATATAATCACCAACTATTTGATACTTTCACTAACAAAAAAAACACACAGAGAAAAAGAAACAGAGAAAAATAGAAACAGACAGACAGAGACAGAGAGATACACAAACACAGAGAGAAAGAGAGAAAAATATTTATTGTATCCAAAAAAAAAATTGATTTTCTTTTTGCTTGTGTGTAGTTGCTTATGTTGTTTTCTTTTACTATTGATAGACAATTGATAGAATGAAACAATTTAAAAATCTATCTCGATTTAGAGTTATGGTGATTTAAATGATAAAACACAATAAAAACAAGAAAAAAATAACATTAAATTGATTCACTAATTATTGATAAAATTAGAGACTTTTTTTCAAAACAACCGATCAACATTCAACCTCATCCACTCTCGGTAACGCCTAAGGTTTATTCACGTGTGAATGGGTGGGGCATTCGCTCATGAGCAGAGCACAAGTTATGGGTTTTTTTCCTGTCAAAGAGAAAAACCAGAAAAAAGAAAGAGAAACTTATTCGCTCATTTTAGTTCCATTCGAATCTCATAGATGTCGCCACTTGCTGATCTTTTTTTGGTCAACTTTTTTTCGATCGCAATTAATTTTGATTTGATTAACTTTACCTGTGAAAATGAAAGTTTGGTCTTATTGTTCTTGTACCACCAATTAAATGTATTAATAGATACCTGGATTGTGAATTGATAGATCACAGTCTTGATTTTACTAAAACTGAGCCTGAGATTAGACTTCGTTGGAAGTCATTAACACTAACCGATAATATTGATTGTTGATTGAATCAACTACTCTCATCAGTTTATTGGCAATAAAATTAAAGAGATTATCTTATTAATAATAATTGAAAAAGAAACTAGAAATATAGAGGTTAATAGAAAAGAGTAATTAATGCACCAGTAGTGAAAAGGTTTGACTTTATTTTTGATCGCTTCGATAACTGATCTTACATCGATATGATTGTTTGTTGGATAACAATTTTATCCAATTTTTTCATTTTTTGATGATGATTAGACTTAAGTGTTGATCAATAGCATAATATTTTCATCCATTAGCATAAATTTTTCGCGCTAAAATGGACTAAACATTTTCTACTGAATTAAAATCAAGTGATGATCAATCAAAAGTACCTTTCGATTTTTGATTCAAACTCTTTGAAATAGCCCAAAGTTTTGTTTGTTGTTTCTTTTTTCTCATTTTGTCAATTTAACCAAAATGCCACCAAAAATACGTGTCATTGCTCTAGTAGATTCGTTGGATAGTTCCAAATAATTAATTCATTGATTCCAAATTATGACAACAAACTAAAAGTTAATTGAAATTTTTGGGAACATTTTGAAGAGTTGAAATCAGGAACAATTCACTCAGTCGTTTCTTCAATTGATCATGTTGACCATTGAAAACGTTCCCATGCATGAAAAAAATCATTGAAACGATAAGTGACCAAAACAAAACGATTCGCGATGAAACGTCACAAACGGCCGATAAAAGTGACAAAAGTAACTGGAAAAAAAATTCCCTCCTGAAAGAATCTGAATCATCTGATCAACAGAGACAAAATCATTAACCAGATCTCTTCTCTCGACACAATCACCAAATGGACAATTAAACTGATCACATTAACTTATTCTCCATTCAAAGTTTGGTTCTCTTAACTGAGAAAAGCATAACTTGTGCTCTGCTCATGAGCGAATGCCCCACCCATTCACACGTGAATAAACCTTAGGCGTTACCGAGAGTGGATGAGGTTGAATGTTGATCGGTTGTTTTGAAAAAAAGTCTCTAATTTTATCAATAATTAGTGAATCAATTTAATGTTATTTTTTTCTTGTTTTTATTGTGTTTTATCATTTAAATCACCATAACTCTAAATCGAGATAGATTTTTAAATTGTTTCATTCTATCAATTGTCTATCAATAGTAAAAGAAAACAACATAAGCAAAAAGAAAATCAATCTCTTGGAGTTACAATATTTTCCACTCTTTTTGTTTGTTTATATTTTTTTCTTTGGTCTTTTTTGTTTCGGTGATTTTGTTTTCTTTCTTGATTTAAACAATTTAAATTAAGGTGATACAATGGAGATCTCTGAGACCACAAGTCAAGCCACTGAAGATATTTTAAAGATGAGAATTGTTACACAATTTATTCTTCATGCTCCTCCGGGGGAATTCAATGAAGTGCTAACAGGTAATTTACTTTATTTATGCCTATCAAATTTCTTCATTTTTTCTTCTTTTATAATTTAATTGATATTCTATTTCTAATGTTGTTGTTTTTCTTTTTTTTTCTATCCATATTCTCATTTCTAGATGTTCGTTATTTGCTTAACAATGATCCTTTGCTTCAACAACAAGCTTCAGGGTGGGTTTTCCATGAATCAAATTACTGTTAACTACATTTCTCTATCGGATGATCGTTAGATTATACAACTAAATATGTCTCTTCCTCCCTAATTTACTCACTCTTTTTGTTTCCCATTCTTCCAATTTTAGTATTTTTGCTCAATACAGTAAAGATCAATTGACACCAGTTCATCTTGAAAATTCTGAACAAGGAGTAAGTCTTTTTTTTGTTGTTGTTGATTCTCTTGAAACCAAATTAACTTACTGACCATAATTTACTCAATTTTAACCTTGTTTTGTTTCTATTCTGTTTCAGGTTTTGATTACTGAATTCAATGAGCTTCCTGGAGGTAGATTTTATGATCCTAAAATTCAAAAATCATTCAAATATGATCCAATCAGAGAAGAAGCTTCTGAATATCAACAATGGACTCCTGATTCTATCTCTGAACCATGGAGATCAAGTTTGGATGAATTATGGACTAATTACTGTAAAGAGCATTATTTTAATGGTGGTTGCTCTGTATTTAGTTCATCACAAAATGATGACATAACCCTGACCGCTTGCATTGAAGGACATCAATTCCAACCTCGTAATTTTTGGTCAGTCAAATGATATTATTATAACAATCAGCTGATTTGTTTACTTTTGAACATGAAAAATGAGAAATGAATTTTTCTTTTCTATATATTATTTTTGTTTTCTCTTGTATTTCCATAAGTCTAATATTGATTGTAATTTTTTTCTCCTCTTCTTATAGTAATGGTCGTTGGCGATCAATTTGGACTACTACTTTTAACCCTTCCTCAGGTCAAGCTGAATTGAAGGGAGTCATCAAAGTGCAAGTTCATTACTACGAAGATGGAAACGTCCAATTAGTTAGCTCAAAGGAGATAAAAAAATCTTTGGCAATTAGTGTATGTTGAAATTATTTCCTCTCTCTCTCTCTCTCTCTCTCTCTCAACAATATTCTATTCATTATATGAGAGTCTCTTTCTCATCGTTGATTAATTTTCCAGGGTTTCAAATTCATATATCACAGTTGACATCATTTTATTAGTTATCTCATATTAGATTTTAATTGATTGATTGCATTCCACCAAAAATGATTATACAATCACTTTCCCTTTCAATTGTCACCAGCTTATTGATATTACTTTAAGTATACCGATAAAGCTTTATAAATTTTTCTAGTTGAGGACAATTAAGTTTTATTTTAAATTGATGGTTTCATCAGATATTAATCATTCTCATATTATATTAATAATCCATTTTTATTTCCTCAACAGAACGAGAGTCAAACGGCCCATGAATTTGTACAGATAGTCGAAGATGCTGAAAATGAATATCAAACCGCCGTTTCTGACAATTACCAAACGATGTCCGATACAACATTTAAAGCCTTGAGAAGACCTTTACCAGTGACCAAAGCTAAATTAGATTGGTGTAGATTATTGAATTACAAACTTGGATCTGAACTGAAACATTAGAAAAGTTCATGTTATCGAAGAAAAAAACAACAACAACAACAACAACAAATGAAAGCAAAGATCACAAAAAGAACACCAATTGAACTGTTGAAAGTAAATTTCCATCACCACCTCGATCGCGATACTAAACAAAAAACACTCTTACAAACTTGACGAGCAAATGATGGATTCGACTTCTATTTTACTTCTGTCTCAATCTCTTCCTTTTTCTATGGGTCACCGTTTATATGAAAGAAGAAAAAATCAACAATTATATCGTCCTTACTACTGAACTTTCTCAGTACTCAGAAAAACCTCTTGTTCTCTCCTCTTCCCCACCGTTAATCAGTCTAGAGCTTTTTCACCTCACTCTCTTTCTAATATCTAATTAATCTGTCTCTCATGTGAGCTGAATCAATTGTCGGGTGATCACTTGGATATTTAATCAATTTGAAACAAACAATTCACAAGTTAATTTAAACAAAAAGAAGGGTAATCTGTTAATCTGTTATTAATTTAAAGAAAAAACTGATTTTCTTATAAATTGGACCACGTTTGTTAATTGTCACTGATAAACAAAAGCCTAGAAAAAAAAATTACATAAAATATCAATTCGATTTATAATCAATTCCTAATTAACTATTTTCATCTCTCTCTCTCTCTCTCTCTTTCGCTCAGTAAAATTGATGGAAAAAAGTAATTAAATTATTTTCCATTTTTGCTACAACATCAATTAACTGAATTAATCTCCTTTCACTTTCCTTTTTTTTCATTACTAAACAATTAACTTAATTTTGTCAATTCTAATTCCAAATCAATAATTGAATGTAACATTAGAATTTTTTTAACCTTCGTGCGTTTAATTAGTTACTTTTTGTTAGTAACAAAATAACTATTAATTTGAAGATTACAGAACCACCGAGATGATTAGATTTAGACCAGTTAAATTTTGTTGACACTTATTAAATAAATTAATTGATTGATTGGAGTAACCATATTTTCCTGATGGTTGGTAGATTCAAGGGAATGTGAAAAAGTTAATTGATTTGGGAGACTTTTAAATAATTTTTCTCAGTTGGTAAATTATCACTTGGAAAATAGGTGATGATGATGTATTGGAATTGAATGATCGAGTTAATTGTTCACATGATGTGTAAATTGTCCGATCCTTTTTGAAAATGTGACCTAAGGGAACTGAAGGGTAGAAAATATTGATCATCTTGAGTCATATCGACGATAGTTTGACCTCCACCATCAGGTTCTTCTAATACAACCGAAGTGGCCTCGTTACATCGTACAAAAACATATTCATTATCGGCTGCCGATGAATTAGCCGGAATATGACCAATTTTAAAGTCACTTAAATTAGCAGGCATTTGACTGAGAATAACTTCATCCATAAAGGTATCAATAGAAGTAACATAATTGTCTAAATATTTAATTTCCAATGGTGATAGTAGATTAAAGGCTTTTTTGGTATCACTACGAAGAAGACGGACAAATTCATTACACCTTGATTCCAATTTATTTAATCGAGTCCGATAATATTTGTTAACCAGAAAAGCAAATCGTCCAAGTTCAATTTTATGCTGTTCAACAACAAAGCTTCCCAATTTACTTCCAACTCGTTGTAATCCCTCTGACATGTATCTCATCTGTTCCAATATACATTCAAGTACAGTCTCTTCAAAAGGTAACATTTCCTCAACCAGACACTCATTGTTAACCACCTCAATTAATCTTCCATAAACTTCTCTAGGCGATGAGAACGGATTCTCTTTTTCAACTGTTTCTTCATCTTCATCTTCCATTTCAACCTCAGGTTGACTAATTTCTTGTGATGGTTCATCAGGTAAAGAGGAAGGTGTTTCATCCATTGAATTGAAGAAGAATAAACAAACGAAAACAAAAAACAAAAAATGAAAGACAATTTAACTAAATAATCACAGAGAATAGAAAATTAAACAAAATTAAAAATCACAAACAAAAGAAAAACAATCAACTCATTTGAAGAGAGAAAAAATTTTCCCGCCAATAAAATTACAAAAAGAATTCGAAACTGGTGCCATCTGCTGATTGATAATCAAACTAAAATATCGCGCAAATTTAAGTAAATAAGAAATGAAAACACAAACACTTATCAGTTCTAAAGTATTAGAAATATTAATTTCTAATAAAAAATTTGATAAGCAAGAACTTTTGTGTAAATAAAAAAGAAAAAGAATAGGATTAATTCAATTAACTCCAAAAAGAATGACAATTTCTCAATATGTTCAGAGTTGAAGGATTGTCTCTTTTTCTAATCAATAGATGGCGTTGGTTGTCGAAAATTTTGACGAAAAATGATTGGCCGTAACTGCGCATGTCACGAAAAAAGGGAATAAAATTTGTGTTGATTTAGTAAACAACAAATTCAGTTTAATGTCAGTCACTGTCTCGATTTGTTCACCACTATTGTTAACTTTTTATCATTAAGATCGTTTTTTTTTTATAAATAGTAATTTAAATGTCGTCGACAAGCAACTTCGTTCAATCCGAATTTCGGGTAAGTAATTAATTAGAAGATTATATTCTATTTTATTTCTACTTTTCTGTTTCCAAATTTTCGACAATTTGAAGAAATTTATTTGATCGTTTTTCTTATATTCCATTTTCTCTCTTTCTCTCTCAGTATGATGAAGGTAAAAGTCCTTTGATACTTTTGGCAGAGACTTGTCGAAATATTGGTTTAGATACAACTTCAAGTAAATCAGCAAAATCTTCAATTGATCATGTTAAATCTTCAAATAATTCGTCTTCTCTTTCATCTTCATCATCCTCTTCAATTGAATCTTCATCCTCACGTAAAAACAATGATTCTTGTCGTTTATCTGTATCACCTTTGAGAAACTCAACACCAATCAATTCAACAAATCGAACCAGTGCCAATTCAGTGAATGGATCAAACAACATAACCATAACCAATCATTCATCATCCTCTTCATCTTCATCAACGGATAGTTTCATTGGGAATAATAACAACAACAACAGCGTAACCACCAGCATAAGTAATAGTGAATCAAATGGATGCTCTTTCAAGCCATATGAAGATCACATAATCAGTAAAAAAAAGTGTCCTGACGATTCCCGAACCCGCTCAACACCTCAAAACGCTCAACATAGTGATAATAAAAGTCGACATCATCACAATAATAATAAACACTATGTCAATAAAAGTGAAAATATCTCAAAATCTTACGAATCAAATAGTTTAAACAAACGGGAAAATGTAAAAAGTTCATCATCTCTATCAACTAATGTGTCTAATATCGGATCATCATCATCATCATCATCAACAACAACACCATCAACATCATCGACAGTCAGTACATCATCTTCAAATACAACATCAACTTCAACGGTTCATGTTAATCATTCATCTCCATCATCAAAAGGTTCCAATTGCAATGATTGTTTATCTCCTCATCGACCATCATCAAAACCTTATCCACTGACTGTAGATAGTGTCTCCAAATATGTACCATACCCATCTCTCTCACCATACCTTGGCCTTCCTCCACCAAATGGTTATGATCCCGCTTCAGTTGCCGCTGTTGCAGCGGCTGTAGCTGGACACTGTCATTCGCCGAGTATGTGCCGAGATCCATTTTGTGCTGGATGTCGGTTTAACGCTGCCGCAGTTGCAAACGCTTTACATCATCATCAGGTATCACCTTGTCCCGCTGGATGTACACAATGTTCACATGTTACATCTCAAATGACCTCATCAATTAGCCATCAAATTGCTGCTCTTCAAGCAAACGGCTATTTACCGGGTAATTCATTTTATCCACCACCACCACACCCTCATCATTCACACCCTGCAAATCCACCAACATCCTCATCCTCATCCTCTTCCTCCTCATCAACCAATTCACCCCAAGCAGCAGCCGCCGCTGCTGCTGCTGCTGCTGTGGCCGCTGCCGCTTCGGCTTCAAATGTAAATGGTAAACCAAACGTATGTAGTTGGATGATGGGTAATACTTATTGTGGTAAAAGATTCACCTCATCAGAGGAGTTACAACAACACCTTCGCAATCACACCTCTTCTGTTTCAGCTCTTGCCTTTCTCGGTCAATATCCTCACCTTGATCCAATGTTAACTAGTCCAATTGCTGGTTTAAGGCGAACTACTTTTGTCCCAGTTAATCGTCATCATCCGTACAAATCTTTAACCACCAGTGGATCACCATTGAACACCTTAACTAATGGTTTAACTGGAGCAATTCATAAACCACCACCAGGATCACAATTGAATATGCATTATCCACCCTATGGACCATATACTGGACGACTTGGTCCACCCATTTTACCTTGAAAGAGAGAGAGAGAGAGAGATCGAATAAAATAAAAAGAAAACAATTAAAAGCTTAATGTATTTGACAAAAACAAAATATAATTAAGTTGAAAAGTTATATATTCAATCAAATTAAGATCCCCCATAGTGAACAAAACTAATTTAATCATGTTGAAACTTCAATAATAATCATATTTGAAATACCTTGAGTATAAACAAAACAAAAAGCTCATTCAACATCAATTTTATTTGACCGACAATCAACTGATTGTTTACAAACAAACAACATCAATTTCATGATAAAATCAATTCAATCACATAACATAATTGATAATGTTGATATAATGAGGAATAGATAAATTTGAGTGTTGTTAATATATTGCAACAATTAACAATCAACCATAAGTAATTAACATTAAGATGATCAATCAACATGATTATCTCATGAAAAAAAAACATTAAAACCAATTGAAATGTAACCGATTGATTTATATTAAGTTAATGACCAAAGGAGACATTGATTGTTGACCTTTTTTTTCATTAACAATTACTTTTCACAATCAAGTCGATTGTTAAATTTCAATTTTCTAATTGTGCTAATTTAGCAATCATCCTAATGAGAATTGTATATATTTATTGTTACTGATGACAAGCTCATTGATATGATGACAATCAATTTCAATAATTGTAAATCAACAATTAGGTGAAACCTTAAACATAATTAATTGTAATTAACTTTCACAAAATGAGTTTCACTTGATAACATTGTGTTAATAACTTAACCCTTTTATTTGTGTCTATCGAGTAAAAAAAAATCCATTTCATATAACCAAATTAACTTACAATTAACAATCAATTAAGAAAATTTAATCTCCGCTAACCAGCAATTAACTGTTGAACAATTTAGTTTACAATTAGTTAAATAGTGTCAAGAGATACAATCAAATGTTCAGCTAAATATCATCTTACTCAATGTGATTATTAGACAATAGAGAAACTTATTGATTTTCCTTAATTGTTGCCAAATCAATTAACTTTTACAACTAAAATTAACTGATGGAATCATTTTTCATTATCGTTCGCAGTTAGTTAACAATTAACAAATGATATTAATCACTATTGGTAAGTGTTAATTTTTCATTCACTTGTAAATCTGTCAAAAAGTAAACAAATGATCATAAGAAAAAACTGATTGTTACAATTAACGATTGTTTTTTTGACAAACTCAAAATCCTTTGCGACTTTACCTTATGTCCATTTGTTCAGGTAGTCATGTTGATGTTTGTTGTGTCCAGGTAAAGATTTTGTCTTGAAAAGTATTTACTGTTTACAGGTAAACCTGAGGTGTTGACAAAAAACACGTTGAGGTTTTCAAGGAAAGATAAATGGTCAGTATAAAGTAAAGAAGATCCATCAAGATGAGAGAGAGAGAGAGAGACAACAAAGAAGATGATGATGAGAGAGGAGAAAAGCTCAGACAAAGGTAAAAGAAGGTGGAAAAGTCATCATCATTATCATCTTTATACCTGAAGACTTAAAGATCGTTAGGATCAGTGGAAAGTTTTTTCTTTCTACTGGATTCAAGTAGAAAAGGAACCAAACTGAAGAGTAAGAGTCCGAATCCAATTTGAAAAATGAAGAAAAAAAGTTACAATGAAAAAAAAAAATAAATGATGAGGATGAAAAGTAGAAGAATAAAGAAAGAAGAACATTTTTCTTTCTCATCATCATCATCATCATCTAGAGGAGGATCATCCTTAGTAATATAACTTTACCTTTACCTATTTACACGGATTCATCTTGTTGAAGAAACAAACTATTAATCTTTTGCTTTTAGGGTTAGTGATATTCAGTTTCCATCCTCATCTTTGTAAATTTTTCACATTAGTCCATTGATAATCCATTTATATTATGCAAATGATTAACTAATCATCAAGATTCACAATTATTACTATGGTAAAATAGTAAAGGTGGTAACCAACTTAATCTCAGTTGCATCGATAATTTAAACAGAATTTGTTGTCACAATCAAAACAAATCAAAACAATCTAATATATTCACACTTAACTGATATTCATCAGGAAGATTTAAGTGATTAAATTAAGAAAAGTGTTGATTATCTGAATTTTGATCAGCTGACTCTCGAAATTTATATAATGATGATGAGAGAGAGAGACAAATTATCAATGATGTAATCTATTAATAAAAAATGATCTATTGATAATCTATTTGATGCATTGATGATCAATCAATTATTAACAATTGAATATTAAAGTTTTCCCAATCAATTAAAGTGAACATGATGATCAATAATTATTTTGTTAATCTATTGATATAAACATGAAGAAAAAAACAAATCTCAATGAAAAACATACAATACCGATTCCATTACTGGTAAATTTGGGTTAATTTTAATCAACCCTCTTTACCAATCGGTTCTCGGTTTATCTCTCTCTCTCTCTCTCACCCTGTATATTCATGATCATCATTCACTGGGAATAACTTTTTTTCATCTCTAATGATGTTTGCATATCAAAATGATACACGAAAGAGAGAGAAAGTTTTTCTGTGTGAACAAAAAGTTAACATGAACGAAATGGGAAAAAGAGGTTTTTTTTGTACAGAAAATAAAGATTAACGATTGATTATTAGCATAATGAAAACATACACAAAGATGAAGATGAAGATGAAGATGAAGATGAACATCATTAATCAATCGCAAACTGATATTTACCTTTTTTCTTGCACATTAATGACCAATGTCGATATGAATCTTAGCAGTATCAATTTCAATGGTTAATTTGACGTTGCAATGGATTCCAGGAAAGTCGATGAGCGTTTTTTCAGCACAATGACAGAGAGAAGTGACTTTTAACTTCTGTGTGTGACCAATACTAATGATCCATTGGCACTCCTGGTTTGTTACCTTTTTTAAGATCATTTATCTAACTCTCAAATGATTTTTTCTTCTCCAAAGGTACAAACTTTTTCCTCTATGTCAAGGGTCAAATTACAAGGTCATTCTTGTGAATGTCACCGATCTAGTCTCTCTCTCTCTCTCTCTCTCTCTCTTAATACATTTTACTTGTTTCAAACTGAGAACCGACAATTCGAATAGCCTGAAAAAAGACTAATGATGATTCGCCTTTTGGGAGAAGAATATTTTTCTTTTTTGTTCGATTTTTCGAACATATTTTTCCTCTAACAAAAATGATTAATCTGAACAATTCTGATAATGATAGTGATGATTAATATTATTATAAGAAACTCAAAGATTTCATATATATATTACAAAGTAATATCATAATAGATGATTACTTGATAATTGAGTGTCTATGTTGACCATCAATTTGAAATTCATTCAATCAAAATTGTTCATTTATCTTTTATAATCTTTAACAGGCAAGAAAAGATGAGGAAGAAAAAAAGTTTCAAAATCTCGATTAATATTTGAAACAATTAACCAAATTCATTAATCATTGGTTTTAATAACAATAAAAAAGAGAAGGAAAAAAAATTCTATTAAATGAAACATGAATTTTGGGTATTTAACTGATTATTTCCAGAATATGAGCAGAAATTTTTAAAACTTAGCATCTTCCAGAACTTTGAACATAACAAAAAGATGATGATGATAGTGAAGTAAATTAAAGGAGCATAATCATCATCATCTTTTCTGGACCAGTTCATTGTTAATAGTGATATTTAATACCAACAGTTATCCCTTAAAGTGAAAGGGAGGAGATGATGAAAAAAAAGATGCTGATGATGTTTCAGTTTCTCTCTGTTGATGATGATGAAGAAAAAGGGAAGAGACTGTATAAAGTATCTTTGGGTGAAAATGAAGGGATGCTGAGTATTATCAGAGAGAGAGAGAGGGGGGAGAAAGAGAGTTTCAATCAGGTTACCAGGGGAAAAAGAAGAAAAAAAAAGAAAAAAAGAGAAGAATAAGAAAATGGAAAATGGATTAAGAAAGAGAGAGAAGTGGGAGGTGGAAGAAGAAAACAAAGGGGGTGAAATTCAAAGTTCGTTTAAGTATCTGTTTATCTTCTCTCTCTCTCTTCCTTTTCTCTTTCTATGGATGTTAAATGATTCTCGGTGGCGGGTCCATTCATCATTCCCTTTAGAATCATCAGTGTCACAATGGCCTCGATTAAATTAATGATGTTGTGTCACTTTCCGCTCAAAAAATGATCTTCATCATTCTCATTAATCATCCAGTTCTCTTCCAACTTTTTTCATCTTCTTCCTACCCCTCTCTCCTCTTTTTCCTTTTTTTTCATCATCATCATCATTTTTTTCTCCTCTTAGAATCACATTTTCTACATCTCTCTCTCTCTCTCTTCTCACTCTCTTAACCACAAAACTACATCCACACTCACACACCAAACTGTGAGTATGATGAAAAGATGAAGATGAAGATAAAAAAGCGCAGCATTAATGAAGGTTAAACTTTATAACAATCAACTTGAATAATCCTGTTCAATGATTTCTAGTGAATCTTAGATGACTGATTATCCAACCAAATCATGATAAAAGATAAAGACTGATTATCTTGATTACAATTGTTATGTTAATCCAGTAACAAAGTTGATTATCTTTCTCCGGTAAACTAAATAAATACAATCAAATTTGTTTGTCAGTATATTAATCACTTTCAATTGACAAGTTATCCTATTTATCAATGAACACTAAACAAAACCATTAATTACAAATAGATTAGTACGAACCTTATAGTGTTTAAGTTGATTGTTATTCTTAATTCAGTAGTATTATAATTTATCTCGATGCTTAGAATTTCAATTTCTTATCCTATTTTAATCATCATTATCACAATTCTCATTTTCGCTTTCTAATTGGAAATGTTAACTATTCTGATGAAACAAGTTGATAAATGTTCATATTTCTATCAACATAATCATTGAGAATTCTGTAAAGTTTTAATGTGAAATAATAATAAGTGAAAACTAATAAAACTAATGCAATAATTTTCATCCTCATCACTTTCGACTTGATCCACTCATCATAATCATCATCTCTATTTTTCCTTCACTTATTTACCTCATCATCTTAATCTGTTCAATCTTTGATATTATTACTGTTGCTTATTTTGTTATAATAATAATAATAATAATAAACAATAACAATAAACAATAACAGTAAAATAATAATAAGACAAAAATGTGATCCTGAAAAAAAAAGTTGAGACTGAAAGTTGGATGAAATATATTATCATTATCATCACTATTATTGTTATTATTACACATTAAAGTTGACACCTACAGGGAGTGATTCTGTTGCTGATAAATTTAACTCCCAGGAATCAGTGGTATATGTGTTACGATGGGAACCGGATGCTACTTGAAGAGGAAAGATAAAGGAGGAAGATGAGAGACATAACCTGACATGTTAGTGATCCAAATACAGAGAGAGAGAGAAGATGAGGATAAAGAATGAAAGAGAGAGATAATGATGATGATGATAAGAAGCTTTATCTTTTCTTTTTAAATGCTTTTTTTAAGGCAATATAATATTCTGACCCAACCCGATTGATGGATGAGATTGTTATGGGGACTTGAAATAGCCTCATAAGGAGCATTTAATGGCCAAGACAATTTATAGTTTTAATGGGGTCTAACTGTAACCCGAAGAAGATGAAGATGATCATGGATGATGATTTTCTCCTTAGAGAGATGATGATGTTAGTTTTTCTTCTTCATCTTCTTTCCCTTTTTTGCTTCCTTGTTTTCTTATGTTTAGCTGGAAAAATGCAAAAATACTCATGGGAAAAACATCGTAAGTTTAGGAGGAGAGAGAAAAGTGAAACATTTATT